AGTGTGCTAGAGAGATATATGCTTTTTGTTCTTCCTAACGTCATGTTCTAAAAATGTATTTAGAGCTGATTTATTTCAACAAAAACTGTGACATCAATAATTTCATTAGCGCAGATGTCAATCGAGAAAAAATATCGAGTTCTACCAAACGAGAAGGACGGGATGCAATACAAAAAGAAATAAAGATTAATAAAGTTTGTATTTGATAAAAATTTAACTTACATAAAATAGGGAAGCGACAGCCACAGCAGAGCAAGAGCGATGCCAGGCAAGAGCAAAAAAATACATATAATACAAGCCATAAACAAAACATAACATAACAACTAGATACAAATAGTAATATGTTAAGCAAGGTTGCAAAGTTGGTTTTTGGCACGAGGACTTGTATTAGTGAAACATAACTTTTCACCTTACTACATCGAGGAAAATGTTTGTGATGTGAAAATGAAATTATTAATGCATGTTCAGTGCATTAATATCGGAACTACACTTGGCTATTCGTATTTGCTATTTGTCATTTTAACAACAAGTTGGCTTTATTGTAGTCCAAGGAGCGAAAAGTTTACAAAATAGCAAAAACGAGCAACCAAGTGAAATGCCGGCATCAGATTTCGAATAACAAACAGAAACTTTCAGAGCTTGTGAGGTGAGCAATGTTTACAGCCTGTCTATCTGTTAATTACTGCAAATTCTGCATTATGAAAATGAACTAATATCTATTATATTATATGTGTACACTGACGATCATTATGTGGTCATATCACAACAACTACAGATACAGTAAATATGTAAATGAATACAGCAGAATAGATTGCTTTATATTCAACCTTAGATTAAAATATGAAGGGAAGATACGGTACTCGCGGCTCAAAAGTGATCCGCTTAAATGTTGTTGTATGACCACATTGGCTTTAATCACACTTGGACATTCAAACACGCTGTTGTGCACTCAATATATAAATATTGCGTATAATGTGTGTTATGCGGATAAAACAATGCCTTTGGTGCTTTTATAAAGAACACCAATAGTTCAAGATCAACTAACGAATGAATGCCTCGGCAACACTTCATTCGTAAACTGTAAAAACATTTTTTTCTCAAAAATCACGGTATGTCGCGAATGTTATAAACGTAAATGTCATTTTGTTATTAAGATAAGGACAACAATACAGCTCAGCCGTGCGGACTCGGAAACAGACTCGCCTTTTCGCTTGCGCTACATTGAAGCGTACAGTTCTATCTCGCTCGCTCGATTGAATGTTTATTTACAGATGCGTGCGTGTATAAGGTTGAGTCAGAGCATATTTTATTTGATGGTAGTAGGAGCGTACCGTATCTTCCCTTTTTGTTTTAATCTGAGTATTCATACCAAGCAGTATTGTCCTAATTGTCAAGTTATGAGCGCTTTGCGACTGTCACTGCATTAAAGGGGTGATGGCGAGGTAAAAGTAATTCTATTAAGTGACCTGTTTTCTTTGTCCGCTATTAGGTAGATTATCAAAAAGTAAACACGATTTATTACTTTGTTCACATAATCAAAACATACGAGATACCGTACATCACGTCTTGGTACAATTTTTACTTAGAAATGACGTCAAGAACCGCCACTGCCAAACTTTGAAACTCTTTAGCTTTGACAATTTTCGGTTTATTGACAAAAAATAAAATAAGTATGCATTCTTTTTTGATCATCTTACCTGACGTAATTACTACGTCACAGGGTTGGCAATGTTTAAAACATTTATAAAAAACAAGTGTTTAAAACACTGGAAAAAATACATACCTGTTTAAAGCACGTTTTAAAACATTTTGTTTTAAACACGTTTAAAACAAATATAAAAAACATTAAGATTTACTACATTATAGTTAATGATAATAATTAATTGTTGTACTTTTTGAAACTTTTTATTGGCAACATTATAATTTTGAGGTATATTGTAAATTGTGCTGGCAACTCCGGCTGGTGGCTGACGGGGATTACCCCAGCAGACTATAAGCAATGAGTGAACGAATAAGGTATATTTCTACTGCGAGTAAATGGGAAAGGGATGAAGATAGTTCGCTCCGATAGCTTTCTTCTTTCATCGTTTGTTTTAATTTCTACCTTCCCCTTACTTATCTATCCCAATCACAAAATAATTCAATGTTTAAAGTCTTTAATACAATGTTTTAAACATGTTTAAAACATGTTAATTTAAACATTTATGAAAAATTGATTTAAAACATGTTGTTTTTTGTTTTTTGATTTAAACATGATGTTTCGTTCTTTTTAAAAAATCTGTTTTTTTCCAACCCTGCTACGTCATCATCCCTATCGCTTTAGCTCTGACGGGCATCGCGGAAGAGTTAAAGTTAGACAATAAGCCCTTCGATTTGCGAATAAAAGGTGCCTTTTTTTAATTTAGGTACTTTAATTACATGAACTGAATAGTCAACACCATTCAAAAGCTTATCCAGATAAAGCGGTTTACGCGTGTTTCCAATTTAGTTGTTGGTTTTAATTTACCCGCAATGAAGTACAAAACGCCTGGAAATCGCGTGTCGTCATAGGCTGAGTATCAAATGTTTTTTTTTTTATGTTATAGGGGGCATACGAGCAGACGGCTCACCTGATGGTAAGTGATCACCGTCGCCCATGGACACTTGCAACACCAGGTGTATCACAAATGCGATGCCGGCCTTTAAGGAAGGAGTACGCTCTTTTTTCTCTTTTCTTCTCTTTTTTCTTTTTTTTTCTCTTTTTTTTCTCTTTTTTTTCGATTCACCCAATTGAAAATGCCTTAATCAATTATTATCACAAAAAACCTTTTTAAGGTTCCGTACCTCATAAGAAATGACGGAACCCACAAAGAATCACTATGCTGTCAATATGTCTGTCTGCCTGCTCTTTATATCGGGATCGCGTGATGGTATCACGTTGAAACTAAAACCATCATTTCTAAGGTCCCTCGAAGCTGGGAAAAAATAAACTTTTAAGTTAACGTAAAAAATGATACGGCCATTTATGTTGCGTACTGTAGGCTGTAACGCCCGCAGCCTTACAGCCTCTTTGGTTGTCGGGTGCCTACGGCTAGCAATTATATTTAAAACAACAAAATATATTTTAGAAATAGAATATTAGAGTACCTTTCCGTCTCGATTCGATGGATGGCAGATTGAAAATGGGCGTAGACATTGAATTGCAAGATCATTTATAGTTGATTTTTGTTGTCTATAAAATAAAATGAACATCTTTCGTTTTCTTTCTCTAGAGTTGCTCCTCCCCAGATTCCCTTCTGGAAGATCCGTCTTATATGGCGGATGCTCCGGGGGGAGGCCCGATATAGTTTTAAATATGAATAGGTAGGCACACTCGACAAGTAAAGAAGCTGTAACGCTGCGGGCGTTACAGTACCTACTGTACGGAACCCCCGGTGGGCGACTATGACTCTCATTTGTCCGGTTTTTTTTTATTATTATACGTGCACAGACGAGGGACTCCTTTGCTTTTCAAATTAAGGAATATTTCCTAAAGCTGGACTCTGGCTGATCTTTTATGCCTTCATTACTTTGTATCGTATTTTATAGCTTCCTTATATACTTACTATATTTTATATTTACGTTTATTTATTTATTTTTACAATGCACTAGCCCGCTGTTTCTTCTATTCTTATGGTATCGATTCATTTAGTCAAAGGTTGCCTGGTAGAGATTGCTACCTTAGCAATAAGGCCGCCTTTTGTGTTTGCGTTCCTTTGTTTTATGTTTTTGTATTATAATGCAATAAAGAATATTTATTCATTCATTCATTATTATCGGAGAGGATAAAAATGCAACAAGCATATGTCCCACCTAATGGTATGCAGCCACCATAACCGTAGACGCTTGCGAAACCTGGGGGTCATTCGCCTAACTGAAATGCTTTGGAAAACGCTAACGCTTTCGATTTCATTTTGTTATTTCTGACCGCCGAAGGTTTTCAAATACCTCACGCTCATTTTCTTCAATATTGTTATTACCAATGCAAAAGAAAAAAAAAAGAGCTCGAGGCATTTGAAAACCTCAGGCGGCTAGAAATAACAAAATGAAATCGTAAGCAATAGCGTTTTCCAAAGCATTTCTGTTAGGCGAATGGCCCCCAGGCATCTCGCCTAACCTTTCCCCAGCCCCTAATCCGTAGCTCTACTCAATTATACAAGGTTTTATTTTTCAGTCAAAAGTTTTTTTTAATATATTAATATTTTTAATTTCACTTTTAACAAAAGACTGAGAAAAATATACAAATACACTCGACTGCAAATGAACTGGTTGATTTTCTCAAAAAGTATAAAACTTACAACTACCAAAATTATAACTACAGAAAGTGCATTTCGTGGTGATTAAAATGAACTAGAATTTATTGTGATCAATCAATGAACTAAATTTTAATTTAAAAAAAGCCAAGAAAGAATCGTTTTCCAATTGTGGTATTCGGAAGTAACGAACGAAGCAAAAATACTCACGTCTGAGGAAACTATGGAGAAAAACTAAGGAAATGATAAGAAGTATCAGACTATCTTCATATTATAAAAAAGAACGATAATCGCGACTTTATTGAATAAAATTCTAATGGTTAGCATTGCTGTTTTTGCTCGATTACAAAGTAAGTTAGTTGACAGTACTTTAGAATAAATATTTACTCATATCAATAATTATGAAATACACTTTTTGTAGATATATACATAGCTTTAATAGTTGTAAGTTTTAAAAATCGAATTAGAGTTCAATCAAGGTACTAGCGGTTGGCCCAGCTTATTTGCAGTCGAGTGTAGATATAACAATAGTAGGGGGGCCCAAGCGACGATTTTGGCATTTACTTCAGCGAGGCAGAATAACATAAGGAGTGGTCGCACCTTGTGAAGTACTCCCACTATAACTGAGCTCTTTTTACAGGGTGAATCCTACATAAGCTCTTATTCTTGCTGCTTGTGCTTGTAACAGCCTAGACTGAATAAACGATATTGATTTTTTTTTTTAATTTTGAATTCAAAAGACTGTCGATTTGGACGCGATAAAAAATTATGGCCGATTGTTGACATTTAAAGTTATATAAAGGGCTCAAGTATGGTGGTAGTACTTCACAAGGTGCACGGTTGCCCCCTTACGTAATTCTGCCGCGCTCGAGTAAATCTTAAACTCCCGCTCGGGCTTCCCTCGTATAAGTACTAATAAAATATTCTTCATTATCGAATATTAAGAAATAAAACTGCTAATTCTAACGACTTCATTTATTCAAAACGGCACAAATCTAAAACTAGAAAATTAAACAGTAATGTAATAATACTTACCCTAAAAATCACAAATTGTATTATTAATATTATTGTAAATGTAAAAAATGGCATAAATAATAATAACTAAAAGTAACATAAACAATAAATGGGTGAAATTAATCGTATTATAATAATTCTTCATACAAATTATTTAAAATACTTGCATTCATTTACGAAATGTGAAATATAGTTTATCTCCGAATATCCGAAAAGTACCGGAACTTAAAGTTAATCGTAAAGTGGTTTAGGCATAACAGAAACGCAGGAAAAGTGTTGTTCAAAATGTACTTAATTACCAATAGAGGGAATTCTATTTCAATACTAAGTAAAGAATGATTCTTATCAGTATCCAATGTTTAAAGCTCGTGATGTCATAAGTTAACTTATGATTTTATCTCTTCTAATGCAACTGAATTATGATATCGAACAATAAGTGATTTTGTATAAGTTAGTTCATGAAATATTTCCGGATTTTGGCATCAGCCTACACGATATTCGATCTGCATAATTATAAATTATTATAATTTATAGAGAGAGTTTAGAGATATCTTACTTCTTTAAAACTTTCTTAGGCAGAGTTGTGAAGCAAAAATTATGCAAAGTATAAATCATAACAGTCCTTTAATAAAACCTTCTTAGTAGTATTCTAAGCAAAGTCAAATGTAATCTTAGAAAATAAACTTGAGCTTCTCCCCTCCGACCATGGGATCGAAATTCTTGCCCTGTATTATGTAAGCACTTTGCTTATCTATGAACAGATATACTTTTCCATTATTAGGATACGTGGAAGCAGTAAAAACACGCCACAGTTCAGTATTCAAACCCGGGTTTTTATCTTCGAGTAGGTCGAATAGTATATTCAAATCTTCTTTGTTGTCTGGAATAAGTTTTGGTGGTATTTTCAGTAATACTTTCTTGTCGCCTGTGTAACTTTCTTCTGGGGATATTCTTTCCATTTGTGGTCCCACTTCGCTTGCAGTTTCCGTTTCGCCAGCGAGAAGATTCTTTTCTCCGTCTTCAATTACTTTTGAATCTTCATAGGTAAAGATTTTTATTGAATTTTCTTTATTCGATATAACGTCCCACTGCTCGATTTTCAAATCGGGATATTTCTCATTTATGTCAGACTTTAATTCTTCAATTGTTTTCTGTGTACGAGGTGTTTTCCGTTTCGCCGATTCCAATACTTTATCATCATCGGATTTAGCCATTCTTTTGGTGTGCGATTTAGTCAGAGCTTCCAAGCTAAGTTTAGGCTTAAGCAAGGATTGTAAATGTCCCAATTTGAATTTGACTGCACTACCATCTATGGTCTTATTGAAATCAGGGCTCGTGATAACTTGAGCTGACAACTTATCAATCTGCAGAATCACGTCAAGTTTTGTTCTAGTACGCACTGTGCTTATAATTCTCCAATACTTTGTACGTAATCTCGGATTCAGTTTCTGCATATCCGCTATTACTGCTTCTGTGTCCTTTGTAGTTTTCACCATCATGCTAATAATTCCAACTGCGCCTCTAAATTCGGTAGGCTTTAGATTCATATCCAATTTGGAATTTACGTTTTTGATATTTCGTTCCATCCATTCTCTAGAATATAGGTCACAGCATATAATGAATATCACTCCGTCGAACAAGTACATGTCGTGGAATTTAGGAACACAGTCTTCGTTAAGTTCTTCTTTTTCAAAAGAATCGCAAATTATAGCTTCGAACGCTTTTTTGATGGAATGGAAGAGGTTTTCGTCTATACGTGTTTCAGGATAGCTGGCTGGACCTACATATAACTTAAGGTCGTCGGCTATTACGTCAGAGTAATGGCAAGTCCTCAGTCTTGTAAGGGGTATTTTAGTAATTTCAGGATCTATCGGGGCATACATAAGCTTTAATACTTTATCTTTGACAACTTTGTTTCCATCGTTGGATTCAATAACTACATCTTTAGTATTCGTGCCGTCAAAGCTTACGTCCCGCTTCTGCCTGTCAATGATTCTGAATATCAACTTCTCTCCTTCGTAAATCGGATCGAAATCGGGACTCCTAATAACCTCTAACGAATCGGGATCGACACCAAACTGACGCTTTTGTTTTCCGGCAACGTCCGAATAGTACTTCCAACAATCTGGTTTCAAGCCAGGGTAGACTTCCCGCAATTTCAATAAAATCTCAATAGATTCAACGTGAGCGTGTTCTTTGGACAAACGCAATACCACTCTAGTGTATCTCACCAAACTTTTGATATCTGTAAAATGTAATTTAAGGCCTGTAGAATTTATAAACTTAGGAAGAACCTCAGTCAGGTAGTCTTTAGTTTCTAGACTATCACAAATGTAAATCACGGCTCCGTTAGAAAGATAGACGTCTTGAAACTTCGGAATTATCAAATTGGCGAAGCGTTGCATTTTCATGTCTTTGTGCAAATATTCCTTAAATAAGTGCTTCAGTCTGCGAATGTGCGTGCCTTCCAATTTATTCTGTGGATATCCATCTAGAGTAATTGCCACTTTTAGTTCATTCTCGACGTGTAAATAATTTGTTCTTCTATGGTATGCTATTCCTCTGTTACTATCAATGTTCAAATTGCTGCCTCTACCAATAAGGTTGTCATTACTCTCGATAATCGATTCGGTTTTGTCAGATCCAGTAATAATCTCTGTCAGAGCTCCGCCTTCACCTTCTTCTTCATTCTTAACGTCAGTCTCAGGGTCACTGTTATAAATATTTGTTTCGTCCGACCAAATGATCACTTCGCCTTCTCCGCTAATGTATTTAACATCTTTCAGTTTCTTCAATATTTCTTTCTGCAACGTATTTTCAAATTCTTTTTTCACGTCTGTGTTGCGTTCAGTGTCGCAAACGTTTTCATCGTCAGAATCCTTAACTACTTCAGATAATTCTACTTTTCCAGAATTTCCGTCTTCTTCTGCGTATGTAACATTTTGTTTTTCAAAATCAACTTCTTCACGTGCGATTCGAGGAGTGGTTTCTTCAGATCGTATTTCTTCTAAAAGTTTCACCCTTGACGCTACGCTGCATATGTCCTCTTCCAGATCAGACATCAAACATTGATAGTAAATCTCCGTGTAGCCGGTTAGTTCAAACTCCATCTGGCTGTAGTCTAGTACGTTTTTAAATGTAGGCCCCCTGATGATTTCGCCAGAGAGTCTATCTATAAGAAAGGAAGTAGTTTCGACGTTATCTGTACACTTCTGAGCATAAATTTTCCACTGCTTAGTTTTCAACGTCGGATTGAAATATTGCAAGAGTTTAAAAGCATCTTGCGCCGTTGCCGGCCAACAAGATCGGGGTATTTTCATAACAGCTAAACACAACCTTTTCACTTTTGACTTCAGCAGAATTAAGTTGGTGCACATTCTTTCTTGTAAACCGGGTGAAACGCGTACCACCCAGTTTCTGGTGTCCAAATCTTTACAGACGCAAACTATCGCGCCCCTATTCAAGTAATAATCAAGAAAGGATGGCACTTTTTTCAGCAAGCCGTTCTTTAGTTGCATATCGATGACTTCAGCCAGACACCTTTGGAATGACTCCATCTGACGCAAACGCATCTTTGATTTCGGATATCCAGCTAATGCTATGACCACTTTTAAGGTGTCACCTACAATATCCATATAATCAGAATTGCGCAACTGAATAAGTCGGTTAGTCTCGTCGACTTCTTCATCGCTGTCATCGTCATAAAAATCGTTGCAATCGCAAGTGAGATCGCTCCTTCCCTTGCCTTTGTTCGCGATGTCCAACTTTTTGCTAGTGACGTCGGACTTTTGATTAGCAGTGTCAGTTTTGCTGTATTCAGTTTTAAGATCAGTGGTTTTACTAGCTACAGATTTCCTACTAAGCTCTGTAGTTTTATCGCATCTACTCGAGTAATCGGACTGTTTGCTAAAATCTGTGTATTTACTAGCGACAGACTTAGCTTGGATCGGCCTGTCCAGTTTACGGGTACAGTCATCAAGGCACAGAACGCATGTGGACGGAGTTGAACTGCCTTCAGAGCTTCCTGGTTGGTCCCAAGGAGTCTTGTACTTTTCTTTGCAGGAACAGACGTTTTTCCTTTCGTTCTGCAGAAGAAGATGTCTGTCAGCTCTCTGGTCTAGCTACCGCTGCCTACTACGACCATAGCCACGCACGCCTCAGTAGGAAAAAGTAGCCAAAAACCCTGAACCAGCAAGTACTGCTCAAAAATTTGAATTTGTTCCCAAAGTCACCAAAAGACATTTCTCCAAATTTCGTGCACTATAAATATACGCCGTTTTGATAATATTATAAATATGTATATGCAATAATATTTATTAATGAAGTTAGCACAGTCAAGGTCACATGGAAGTTTTTACGTAACTAAACTATGAATTCGTCTGTTATAATAATGATTCTTTCTTTTAGGATTCCGTAGCAAAACTGTGAAAAAAGAACTATATTTTTGATATGTAACAAATTTCCTCTCGCTTTTCTGCAATTTGTGGGAGTGATTTCGTGAAATGGAACGGCAGTGTGTAACAAGAAGTCGCGAAAGCGCGCTTTATTTGATTTGATTTTAGAACAATGTTCAAATGTCTTATTATTCCTTTTGTAGTAGGTTTTATTTCTTTTTTTGCAAATATAGGTGAGGTTTCAAATGTTACACATCATACGCGACTACTGTAAGGCCCGCTCGTTTTTTAACCGCCTATCGGGATTACTTGGCCTATATCGCTATTGCTTAAGATTTTATTTTGTTTTTTCTGACATAGCCTTGACTGTACTGTTAACATAAAAAATAAATTTATTTATACAGAGAGTTAAGATGAATCTTCGAATTTAAACCCAGCATAATTATTTTCCGATATAAATATTGTATAAAAAGATAATAAAGTTTTGTAAGATAATTTAGGTTAAAGCACTAGGATGCCACAAGACTTCAATCATGCAAAGAAGGAAAATGAAAAATAGTTATTTATGATAAAAGTGCGGTAAGTTGGTTATTACAAACGAGTAGACGAATGTTTAAGGCCTGAAGGCTTACCATCGTCATGAGTTTGTAATACCAATCCGCACGAATGTCATACAACGTTTTTCAACACATTTGCGAGAAAACATTATACATAATTTAAGTAATTAAGCAATTTTTTTCTAATAAGAAAATGGCGCGCATTTCCAAATGGCGCCACGTACGGGTGGTGAAAATTAGAACTACACCTTTCGTCTCTTTTTCTTTTTAGTATTAAAGAGAGACATAGGTATAGACTAAAAGCGGTTCCGAGGAGATTCAACCAAAATAAAAAAAATAATAAAGGCTCGTTATTTTGAACTTTTGAACAATCTATATAAACTTCGTAAATACACTTCTAGAGCAAATGTGTTGAAAACTATATTACAGGGTACTGGTGGTAACTTTCACAAGCCGTATTATGAACTATTAACGAATAACAATTCCTTGTTAGAGCGAGACGTAAATATGGTATCCCGTTTCAATCACTACTTTTGTGTTCATTCAAGTTCATAACACAGCCTTAGGTGGTAGATAAACACTTCATTACTCACACAAACACAACGAAAGGGTTTCTTATTGACAGGTATTGACTATTCAGTTAAAAAAAGTAAATGATGCAATGCAATAAACAAAATCGTAACTTACAGAGTCGCCGGCGCCGGCTGCAAAACTGTCATCTTCGTCGCGTGATTCCAAGCTCCTTTGAAAGAAAAATATTGTGTTCTACAAGTGTGTTTGTTATAAAGACAATCCCCTAACCCTTAGAGCAGAAGAACCAACACTGTAATAGGGTATTTGACAAGTTTTAGATAACGATCTCACTTTATTGACTAATGTTTATAGAGTCCGTATAAATATATTATCATTCTGTTGTGTATTTCAGTCAAAATAACCAAATCAATAATTCCATTTTCAATTTGCCGCGAAAACGTTTCACTAGACAATATGGCGTCTTACTAGTGTGTCTACACGACTGTTATTAAAACATCAAACGATACAATGTAATGTCACTTTAACCGGAAGTTTACTTGCGAGTGACGTCCTTTTAGGCTCTGCCAATCCCAAGCGTTTTGGGTCACGTGACAATAGATACGAAAAAACTATTATCTTTTTGTGGGTTCTTAGTAAAATTATGAATATTTTTTTTTTGTAAAAATAGTAAAAACCCCTGCCAATATTCATTCTAAACACAGATGATTGGCACTTTATTTTTAATACTGTCAAATACCCTATTCTACTGTGCTCTTCTATAAGGTGGTGGTTACTGCCCCAGACAGGACACGCTTTAAAGTGGGAAATCCGTATCTCTCTTCAATACGAGTTATGCAATATAATTAAAATGCCTGACTATAGTTAAAATACTAAGGATAAAATAGCTTTCAAATATAACTTTTAAATTTGACATTTATTACTATGTTTTTGACGTGACAATAAATAAAATTAAATAACAGTATTTCAAACAACGCGGCAATTCCAGCAGGAAATCCGCTATCTTTAAAGGAAAGGAAGAAGAAGCAAAGCGCATAGTGAGAACCTAAAGAATGTCTATTATAAATCGGTGATGATTTGCCGTGTCTCCGCTTGCCCGATGTTGAGAAAGTGAAAGGAACATAACTATACAATTCAAAAGCAAACTTACATATATTAATGCTTCGAAAAGGCTATTTATGAATGTGGCGAAAATAGGAACTTACGCCGCCATCTTTGTAAACGTCATATTATGTTAAGTCATTTACGTAGGCAGCAGCCATATAGGTATAAGAATAGAGTGGGGAAGGCGGCTCTAAAAGTGTTCGTCTAGTAGAAAAAGAAAGAACATGAGAGACCGCCAGCTATCTCTCTCTCTTGTGACGCATGGCATCCAATGGCATCACATCGAAATAGTAAGATGCTTACGGTTGCCAATGCGCGATTAGAGAGAGAAAGCTAGCGGTCTCTCATCTTCTTTCTCTTTCTATTAGAGGGACACTCACTTGTAGTAGAGTCTATATCTCCCCTACTATTCTTATACCTCTATGACAGCAGCACCCGTCCTGTAGGCCTATTCGCTAACTTTTTTTAACATTTACAGTGTGTAACTAAAGAGGAAATAGCATATTGATATCGATGCTTTTCAAAACAAGTATCTTTGTGGCGTTGTAATAAAGCAGTAGTGAATCACTAAATAGCTCGGTGATTATCACTTCCATCTGTCAAAAGCAGTTAGCGGATAGGCCTAATGAACTGCCACTCAGATTTTTAAAGATCCTTGGTCACACTTAGGGTTGCCAACCCTACTATATTAGGGGTTCAATCAAATACTATATTTCAAAAAAATATATAATAGAAGGCGAAACTACTATATTATTATTTTGCTTAAAGCAGACTTCTGCCAGTTAAAACATTTCTTAAAAATAATATCTTATTTAATTAAGGCATATAGCAGCAAAAATATATTAATTTAAAAAATAAAGTAAGAATTTTAACCACATACTATATTTTTTCCATTTAATGCCATCTATTATATTTTAAAGGTAACAGCTTCGAAAATACTATATTTGATGGAAAAAAGTTGGTAACCCTTGACGCTCTATATGACATATTAATGAGTGCGTGAGTGGAGAATCATGGCCCAATCTCCAAATTCAATGTACAGTTACTCCTTATTCCATCCCTAAGGAAATTCTGTGCCCTAGCAATGGTGACATTAATAGGCTGTTGATGAGTGGATAATTACAAAGGGCATCATATTATATAAAAATCCGCGGTTCTGTATGCGTAAGCACTAAGGTGATTATACAGGGAAAGCTCGGGGAAAGCTAAACCCCCAACACACCACAAACAAACTTACCAATGGACTACTTTCTCTCTATGGTTGTAGCTAATGGAAATAAATAAATAGATAACATTAGACAATACATAAAATACAGAAACCCTGGTCTGGGAGCAGAAAGACTTCACTGCATAGATAGCAAAATACAATATATGAATACAATGAACTTTAGAAACATGATTTTTATTATTCAATTGAATTGAAAGAGTAATATGTAATATATATTTTTATGTATTTCGCCTATCTAGACCCTACTAATTTTTTTATAGTTATATTAAAGTTATATAGATGCCGTAGCAAGAAGCTCGAATTAACTACAGAATCATATTTTGTCAATGATAAATGACTATACCAAACTATATATAGCCACATAAAGTTCGATGGCGCAGTGGTAAGCGCGATTCAGTCTGTGATCGTCAAAAGTTAAGCAACTTTCGCAATGCCTGCTCACAGGATGGGTGACTAAATATTTATTAATATTTTAAAATCATACTTGTTACAAAAACTTTTACTATTCAGTAAATGAAATTTTAACACAATAAAATAGCAAATGCTCTCTATCTGTTGTAATCTAAACTATTAACTATTTAATTATAATAATTTAATGTTATGACTGAGATTCTTATAGAAATGTTAATAATAATGAAATATGCATTAGGTTCAATATTATACTTATGAATACTTCTATATTATTGATATCGATTTTAATAAAATTTAGTGAGGAGTTAGCTGACACCCTGGATTAGGTAACACATAGGCTACGTTTTACTGCGTGAAAATATTCCTAATAAACCGCGGGTAACACCGCAGGGCACAGCTAGTGTACTCTAACTAAAAAAATATATGACATCAATTTACTTTTGTACATGATAGCAAATAAATAAATAACCTCTGTACTGCAGAAGGAACGCAGTAAATAAAGAACAAATAAATAAAGTATTGTAATATATATAGGTGTAGTTCACCGTTTTGTGGTGCAGGAACATTAATTGCAAAAGTTTGTATTATCCGTAATTGGTAGAAGTTGATAAGTTGATATTTTCCATGGACTTGTTCTTAGAATTTGTTATTGTATCCAAATACTTTGATGTTCATTATAATTAAAACTGTTATTTCTGGGTCCAGGAGTAACAGTTCAATTTTTTTAAAAGGGTCTCTATTTACGATTTTTTTTTATGGCTTTATTCTCACAACACTAACTTAACCCAGCCTGTGAAGCTTCAACTAGTGGGCTCAGAAAGTACAGTTTACTATTTATAACTTACCAATAATTAAGTTTTAAAAGATATTAAACTTGAAACTCACCGATCACGAATGTTACGCACTACAACCCTGCCATTAGGCAACACGCAGCGATTCGAGGGTGAAGTGTTGCTCTGAGTTAACTGGGAAAAAAAATATCGTAAGTATCATCTAAAGAAAAGTTTACTAGAAAAAAAAGTTTACTAAGAATAAATCCACGCGGACCAGGCAGCGGACCAGTGCATTCGCCCGGATTGCGAAGGGTGCGGGTTCGAGTCCCGTCCGCTGCCTGGTCCGCGTGGATTTTTTTCTAGTAAACTTTTCTTTAGATTTACACATCTAGCAGTTAAATGCTTAAAAATAAATAAAAACATAACGCAAGTATCAATTAAAATGATATCAGTACCCTCAGCACGAACCATTATCGAATTCGAATAGTTTGCAAACCGAAATGTCAATGTCAAATTTTGTATGGAAACTTGAACAGCAGCGGCACAAAGTACGTAACGAGAACTAAAAATCAGTACAGATTTGACAATGACATTTCGGACTCGCAAACGTTATGAATTCGATTTTGGTTCGTGCTAAGGGTATAGGTAATTTGCACATAATATAGTGAGGGTAAGAAAAATATAATAATAATTAATAACATAATAACAGTAATTATGTATATCCTTGTTTTTTACTACACATTTATGTGCAAAATAATTCACAGACGCGTGTCTGAAGTGGATGGAACTCGAACTCGCACCCCCCTTATTAATAAACGAGGAATAAGCTTGGATTAGTTACTCCATGTTTCGTCTCTGTTCATCGAATGACATAAGTACCCTTAGTACGAGTTTGAGCTCACGAAAACTATCATAGTTTTCGTAATTGTAAATTATGTTTCTGTCCATTTAAAAAAACAATCCAACACACCAATTAGGCCAGCCCCAAAGTAAGCACTATAAGGCTTGTGTTATGGGATACTAGGGTAACCGGATAGAATACATATACTGTACATATCTTTATATATATAATTCTTCTGTGAGTGTGTATGTCACTGAACTTCTCTTAAACGACTGGAACGATTTTAATGAAATTTTTTGTGTGTGTTCAAGGGGATCTGAGAATGGTTTAGATTCACAAAGACGTGTAGACAGGACAACGTCTGTTGGGTCCGCTAGTATAAGTATATTTATTTAGAAATACAAATTAAACATCCTTGACTGGAGTACAAATGCACGTATTCATCACAAAAACATCTGCCCCCACCGGGATTCGAACCCGGGACCTCTCGAGTCGGCGGCACCATGAAACCCGGCGTACAAACCACTCGGCCACGGAGGTCGTCAATTTGGTGAAAAGTAACCAAATATACTTTAAATTTAAGAAGACGCAAATGATTTAATTATAGAATTTAAACACTGTTTATTTGTATTGAAACGAAAACAATAAAAACGAAAACATCAAAAGTACCCTTAGTACGAGTGCGAGTTCACTAAAACTATCATAGTTATCGTAATTGTAAAACTCGTACTAAGGGTACAGTAATGAATGCCTCTGAATGCGCAGATAAAGATAAGATCAGTAAATGGCGTCCGCTAGCAAGCTATCTCGCTCACAATCTCATCATCATCAGCCTATTAAAGTCCTCACTGCTGGGGCACAGGCCTTCCCTATGAATGGAACTGGGAGATTGGGCCATGACCCACCACGCGAGCCCAGTGCGGATTGGCGGGTGCTAACGACTGCGGATGGAGCCGGGACCAACGGCTTAACTTGCCTTCCGAAGCACGGAGGAACTCGAGATAGAAGATTTTTGATCAACCATCCAATGACCGACCTCTGCGAAAGTTGCTTAACTTGAACGATCACGGCCGTACGCGCTATCTAGCTCCTATAATCTATCGCTATCGATGTCTATATTGACACAGTGAAGTACGCGCTGCAAAAAAATACGATAACATGGTTAGTATACAATGATATTGATGTTGATGATATTCTTCCGGACATCATACATAATAAATAATGTAAAATAAAAATCTTATTCCATGTATTTTTTTCTTTGAACATTTTCTCCCATGCTAAAGCAATTTAAACATTAATAATAGTGTTGTATGGGTGATTCTCAGATAAGAGGTATGTTCGACGACTAAGCTAAAAAAAATCATTATATTTGGAAATTATGGTCTAAAATCTTAATAATTTCAATTAACTAAATGTGTTCTAAATTGTCACTAAAAATTATATTCTAAATGTGCATAATTTACTTACAATAACAGCACAAAGAGAAAAAACATCACTCCCCTGGGTTGTCCCCTAACCGTTTTTTTTTGTAAATCAGTAATTTTGAGTCAATTGAGAGATATATAACTAACCTCATCCAAACAGCCTGTTGGATCAATTCACCTGAGATAGTCAAACACCAACAAGACAAGCTTAAAGTTCAAACAACTGAAATCAAACTCAAGATCGAAGAAAAACGTCGCTTGAGAAGGGTCTGGCACTTGTCTCGCCATCCATCAGACAAAACTCACTTTAACCGAGCCGCAAAAAAGTTAAAGACTATGCTCAGAGATTCAGCAAATGAGGAACTGCGATCAAAAATATTACTACTATCTGCAGCTGACCAAGGAGAACACTCTCTATGGAAGGCGACAAAAAACCTTGACAAGTCGCAAAAATACAATCCTCCCATTAGAGCTCACGACTTGTCCTGGGCAAGAACAGATAGTGAAAAAGCTGAAGCGTTTGCGATTCATCTATCAAAAATCTTTACTCCCAACGACGGAACAATTGACGAAGATATAGAAAATAACCTTAAAAGAGACTTTCAAATGGCGTTACCGATCAAAGCAGTATCTCCCAGGGAAGTAGCAAATGAAATTAGAACCTTAGACACAAACAAAGCTCCTGGTTTTGATTTAATCACACCTTCGAAACATAGCAAACGCACCATGGTTCTCACGAAACAGCGAAATCCATGAGTACCTAAATGTTCCCACTATAATAGAAGAAATACAAGGCTGCAAGGAAAGATACTTCCAACGACTAACCAAGCACCCAAACCCACTGGCCAACGAGTTGCTAGATACGTCGAATATAACTAACAGACTCAGAAGACGTAATGTTGTTTAGCTGGGAAGCTGAGTCATTCCGCATGCAACAAAATTGATAAAAGTCCTTGAGGACTGATGGCAATTAAGATTGGAAAAAAAAAATGTGCATAATTTACTTACAATAACAGCACAAAGAGAAAAAACATCCCCTAACCGTTTTTTTTTTGTAAATCAGTAATTTTGAGTCCATTGAAATTTAATTATTACCTTTCCATAGGTAATAATATGAACCCTGATAACTTAGTTACAGTATGTAACCACTAAACTCATTTATATTTGCACATTTTATAAAAAATATTAATCGCAAACTGTGTCCTCCGAGTTTCGTGTCTCGCCCAACTGGCCTTAGGATTAGTTTGAAAATCGTATTTGTTTACCATAGTCTGTGGTAGTTTTGACCTTGAAGACACCGAGTGTCACGTGAAGTTAGCAGCAAGCACTGTACAAGCCATCCGCGCGGTAATTTTTTTAGCCATTTGCGCAACGGCGCTCGATGAGTGCAGCCGTGTTGAGTGATCGAAGTATTTACCCTGGTATTTTTTTTTTCATATTTATGTGTTTAAATACTACAATATCTATATACATTTATTTTATATAGTGCTGCAAACCTTTTATTTATTTGTAATCTTTGTAAAATTAGTAGTTTTACGGCAATTTTAGATTTTTAACGAAAATGTCTTTCCCATGCCATATTTCCACTGGCTGTTATGGTGCCAGGCTACTAACAAAACTATAAAAACGATGCAATAGCTCAATAACAGTAATGATAATTTATTAGAGAATGTACAATTGCATATAATTTTAGATACATGTTTAGCTTTATATTGTTATTCCACTAAAATCTGATTGCACGGATAAGTACTTTACATCCTAATATGCGCTCTAAGCACATTGCAATAAAGTTCATTTTGTCTCTACCCTGTACTCAGTATCTCCCCTGGTGGCTCCTAAAATGAGAGTAAATTAAAAAAAATACTGATCATCTTAAAATCATATTAAAATCATCTGTCTTGATAAAGGTAGTGGTATAGTTATATAAATATCGACACTTTTTGCTGTGCCACTGCTTCCATACAACCGATTACCTCTTAACTGAGAATCACCCATATTTACCCTTGCTCCTTATATATTTAAAAATAATTTTTGTCATTATTATTAGTATTATTAATATTAACAATAATAGAAAAGAATAATTAATAACAAAAAAAAGTCAGTAGAAAAAATAAAAATCGATTTTTGAGAACTTTTATTGCCAACGTACCCATAAGTAACCGCTGTCATTATCAGATCTTTTCTTTATATACGCCGGTTATATTTGGTTTCTGCCGCCCCTCGCAGACCAAATGGACTTAGGTGTATTTATAGTAATATGGTGAAAAAGGCTGCTATTAACATTTTCGATTCATAATTCTCAATACTGGAACCCAGAACATATGTTCTCGTTCCAGGACAATCCTGGTGGGGCCCGGCTACCTGGCAAACCCTAGATGGAACCCTCATGACCATAAGATAAACTCACTTGCTTCTTCCTGGAAGCTTCTAGATGCAGAAGTTGCTTCTTGAGCAGCATCGTCCGCTCTTGCACCTGTAAGCGCTGCAACTCCAACTGTATGTCCCTCATCTTAGTGTCTGGATCCTGTAAAACAATACATACATATATCAAGTCATGAGTTAATACCTTATATAGACATCCATCATCGACACTCGCCTATTAAAGTCTTCACTGCTGGGGCATAGGCATTCGCCTTGGATGGATAGAAATAAACATTACATACAAATATCAAGTCATGAGTAAACACCTTATAGAGACTTTCATCATCGACACTAGCCTATGTATGTCCCCACTGCTGGGGCACAGGCCTTCCCTGTGGATACAACATCTCATGGATGGAAATAAATATTACATATAAACATCAAGTCATGAGTAAACACTTTATGCAGACATCCATCATCAACACTAGCCTATGAATGTCCCCACTGCTGGGGCACAGCCCTTCCCTGTGGATACAATATCCCATGAATGGCAATAAACATTACATACAAACATCCGGTCATGAGTAAACACTATACCCACATCCACCTTCGATTCGACTCGCCTATTAATGTCCTTGACCTTGTACTGAGAAGAACCGGCAAGAAACTCTACAAGGGACCATCGACCATCCTAATAATAGGATGGTCGCCCATCCTATGACTGGCTAATGCAAATGTTGCCTAACTTCCAATATTTAAACTAAATAACTAATGTGCCCTTGAGCATATAAGAAAAAGAATAATTTAACTTCTTTTGAAATGAACCACACTCTTAGCAGAACCACGAACAGCAGCACCACAATGGACTTAATAAGAACTAAAAATTAGTACATCTTTGACTATATCTAGATTGCATTCAACTATTTGAATTTCGAAAATGGCTCAGGCTAGGGGTAAAGATTCAAAAATAATTTCATGCAGGAGTGAAACCCAAAACAAAATAACCTGGTTTTTATGACTATAAGTGCCATCTAACAGTAATGATAATTTATTAGAGAATGTACAATTGCATATAATTTTAGATACATGTTTAGCTTTATATTGTTATTCCACTAAAATCTGATTGCACGGATAAGTACTTTACATCCTAATATGCGCTCTAAGCACATTGCAATAAAGTTCATTTTGTCTCTACCCTGTACTCAGTATCTCCCCTGGTGGCTCGTAAAATGAGAATAAATTAAAAAAAATACTGATCATCTTAAAATCATATTAAAATCATCTGTCTTGATAAAGGTACAACTATAATTTATAATATTGAGCTTACCATGTCTTCGTCAAGTGGTGGCATTAAATCCTCCAAATCTTCACCATTCGAAATAACCTCCAGTTTCCTAGAACAATAAATCATAAATTCATTGTAAGTATGCCAACACTGTGGTAAATCAGGATGAAATGCAGAAACAAAACTTTGTTTAGAGCATGTTTTATTTTGAAAAAAAATTAAATTCAGAGTACCTACATATTGTATTTCTAATTATAACACTACCCATTAATATATTTTTTTAACTTAAAAGAATTCAGGGGTTTATTGTTTTTATTTTCACTGGTATAACTTTCATTTAGATGAAGTTTATAAGTAATCTTTAGAGGTGGTCCTAAACAATTTATCAACTTAGTTGGACCAGTAAAATCTGTAAGTACTTAGTGATATTCAGAATATAAAAAAACTTCGCCTAATATGATCTTTGGCAGGTGAACGCCAAAAATGTTTCCCTACCAAAGACTATTTTAGGAAAAGAATGCCTTATAATGAAAAATAAAATGAAATTTAAGTTTTAGAAACCCTGGATTAGACACCAATGTTGGACTACAGTAGACTGGCGGTAATCCGGATACCGTCTAATCCGACACACTCATCACTGTTGATTTGCACATAAAATCAATTGAAATAGATTTTTAGATTTATAAATTACCGGATTACAAGGTACTCTTGTTCTAAAAATTCCAGACTACAGATGGTGGTCTTAGGCAGTACTCTGTAATCCGACAAATTCGATAATCCGACATCGCCCTGCAAAACGTTTGTTGGATTACTGCGGGTCTACTGTACTGAAAACATAAATTATTTACTTAGTTTCCAGTGCACATAGTAAAAACTTATTAACAAACCAGGGAGCTAGTTATGTAACTTAAAATCTTTGTTTGTGGTTTCCCAGTGAAAGCTAAAACAAGTATTAATGTCACCTCTCTTTCCAAACTATTTCAGCAGTTGTTTTTTATATTCTTGTGTAATATAAATCCTTTTTTTATCCATTCAAAAAATTCAAAATTCAATATCGTTTATTCAGTCTAGGCTGTTACAAGCACTTGTGAATGTCGAAAAGCTATGCCATCGGTTTGCAAATCTACAGCTGGAGACCTTGTACTGAGATGAACCGGCAAGAAACTCAGCAAGGGCTGATTTTTTCTCCTTGTTTTACTTCATACAGTGTCGTCCAATTGGAATTTGACATCAAACTTGCAAAAACGTGTTGAGGTCAACTTCCATCACATAATGTCAAATATGTAACAATAGACAATCAACGAATTTACTAACAATAAGTGCAATATTCATTACTGAACCAAGACCATGACTATATTGTTATCATATTTGAAACATTACTTGTGCCATGTTTGTTATCAAAGACATAATAAGTAATAATAGAGATTAGAGTACTCTGAGGGCTGTTTATTAACTTATTAATTAGGATACTTTATAAGACTGTTGTTGTGTTTTAGGAAACTTTTGTAGTTTGTTTTATAACTTTAGCTCAAGTTATATCAGAGCAATGATGTAGTGAGTTAATTAACTAAGGAGATAGTCTCAATTTAAATGACTATCTTTACAACAGGACTCCACTTTGCAGTTGACATGAGGCATAGTAGTTTTATTATGTTGAACATTACAGAAAAACTACTTTTTAGCTTGTAGGAATGCTTGAAAACAATAGTTATTAAATATTTCTACTATATGTACAACAGATGAAATGTGTTAACTTATATAAAAAATAAAAACATTTTTTGTGTCTGGATAGCTTGTACTTATCCTACCCCCATTTTACTTTTATTTCATTCATCATTTACAATTTAATTCAAAGATTGAAAGTTAATTTTATGTATAGCCAGTTTTAAGCACTTTAGTTAAACAAATTACACTTTCACGTAGGTTTAAGCGAAATACAAAGAAAAATTTATTAATTTGAGACGTTTTTGTGGCAGTGCCAAATTTTAGTGCTTAGCTAAACTTATTATTTTACTTTGACTTATTTTCAGAATTTTGGTAGTTAACTTGTGGAGTGATTTGCAAAAATAAACAACAATGTACTTATATTTATGATAATAACTAGATGAACAAGAGAAGAATAAATCTTGGTAAGTAATAGTTCGAACGCTTTGTAGGTTATTTAACGATTTCGTGGAAGTTTCAACTAACAAAAACTAAATTGAAGCCATACCATAAAGATCATATATAACAACATCAGTTCTGTGAATTAAAATAAAGTGTTTCTTGTTACTTACTTCGATGAAATTGAAGAGAAGTATTTGTTCAAGATAAGCCCCTCGTCACAATCCTTTTCCATATTATTGTTACAAATTTAAAGTTCACAAAAACAAGTTTATATTTGTAGCAGATTTATTGTGTCAACTAAGTTAATTTCTCATTCACTAAATACAAATTCAACAAAATTGAAAACGCAACAATCTTGATACAACACAACCGACATAAAAATGCAAAGTCGCAGAAAGTAAAGAAAACTGAACTGAAAAGTAGCTAAGCAAAATTTCAGCCGACCAATGAGAAAAAAAGTTAATATAAACAAATTTTCTAATTGGCTAACAGGCACTACAGAATAATATGTAAACCAATAGGATTGCAGAATTTAGTCAACGCGGTTTTTTTACCATGGTGCCAACTCACAGAAAATAGACGTGGGAAATACGAATTTACTTAATGGAAAAAATATGGCATACAAAATACAAATTGATTAATAATGATGCGTAGTGATAATATGACTTCAATGCGATTAAAGTTATTATTAGATACTTAGAAAAAATAATCAATATTCTAATCTAAATTGTTCTTACCTGGAATTTATCCCCCTACTGCCAACACTGGCAGTGTCTTCTTCTCTGTTGTTCCGAGTGTAAGAACTGCTGTTGACTCGGTCGATGCTATGCCTGGGTTCTCTATCATCTCTTCTTTGCTCGGATTTGGGCTGCGTTTAATGTTTTTTTTTTTATTATTTTCTAAGTTTATCTTTACGCGACAGGTGCAGATCCTTGTAAAATTTCAATTTGATATTGCTATACTTCTAACTCCCATTAATAAATACAATATAACTAATATTATAAAAGTGAAAGTGTGTCTGTTTGTTTCCTCTTCATTTTGAAACCGCTGAACCAATTGAGATGAAATTTGGTTTATTTGGTATCCCGGGAATGGACATGATAATTTTTATTCCAGAAATCATACTTTACAGGGGGCTGGAAGTTGTGCGGAAACCATTATTTCTCCACGCAGACGAAGTCACGAAACCGACTTGTTAAATTCCTTATTTATACGATCGAAAAAAAACTACATAAGTATTTCGCTAGTAGCAATTTATATGTTATTTTATTGTTTGGATAATATTATAGTCACTCTATTAAGACATTTGCAATAGCTCGAGTATTTTTGTAAGATTAGTTTAAAGCCAGACACAAGTTTATAACATCTCGCTCAGTGGTGCGTTGCATGCATTCAGCGTAATAGTACAGTCAATCTGTCGAAAAAAATATCGTTTCAGTGAAAAAAAAACCTAAAGGATAAGTCTTGTTTTTTCTGTTGCCAAATGACATCAGGAAGCCACCTTGGCGATGGGCATGTTCAACTCGTAGGCGTTTTTTGAAAAACTCAAAAAAGCCGTCAAAAATTTCTTTGAAACGAATTTTTCTTGTTTTGTATGCATTTTAGAAACTTTTTTTTTGACCATAATTGTAGAGGGCATTGAGTGCTACAATTTATGTCATTGTTGCAATCTCGTACAACAAAAAATGCGCATTGTAGGTGGCGCTAGTCTCAAAAAAAGTGTTATTTCACTTTTTCACCCTGAAAATATCATTTTAATGGAAAACTTTAAATGGCAAAGTTGTTTCGTACATAATTACCAACAAATTTTGTATAAAAAATTTTTTTGTATTACTTACCGTTTTCAAGTTATAAATTGCGCAGATATGAAAAATTCAATAGAGCAGTTTTGGGCAGTTCAAGTACACATTTGCAGTGCACATTTCAATGTACGTTTATACTATTTTTTTTTCAATCATGAAAAAAAATAAAAATAAAACAATTTTTTTTAATTTTTTTTTGTTATTCTATCATGAAAAATAATTAAAAATAGTAAAACGTACATTGAAATGTGCACTGCAAACGTGATTTTTTTCATGATTGAATAACAAAAAAAAATTAAAAAAAAAAATAGTTTTATTTTTATTTTTTTATTTGGCGATGGGCATGTTCAACTCGTAGGCGTTTTTTGAAAAACTCAAAAAAGCCGTCAAAAATTTCTTTGCAACGAATTTTTCTTGTTTTGTATGCATTTTAGAAACTTTTTTTTTGACCATAATTGTAGAGGGCATTGAGTGCTACAATTTATGTCATTGTTGCAATCTCGTACAACAAAAAATGCGCATTGTAGGTGGCGCTAGTCTCAAAAAAAGTGTTATTTCACTTTTTCACCCTGAAAATATCATTTTAATGGAAAACTTTAAATGGCAAAGTTGTTTCGTACATAATTACCAACAAATTTTGTATAAAATTTTTTTTTGTATTACTTACCGTTTTCAAGTTATAAATTGCGCAGGTATGAAAAATCCAATAGAGCGGTTTTGGGCAGTTCAAGTACACATTTGCAGTGCACATTTCAATGTACGTTTATACTACTTTTTTTTCAATCATGAAAAAAAATAAAAATAAAACAATTTTTTTTTGTTATTCAATCATGAAAAATAAAAAAACGTACATTGAAATGTGCACTGCAAACGTGATTTTTTTCATGATTGAATAACAAAAAAAATTTAAAAAAAAATAGTTTTATTTTTATTTTTTTTCATGATTGAAAAAAAGAATAGTATAAACGTACATTGAAATGTGCACTGCAAATGTGTACTTGAACTGCCCAAAACTGCTCTATTGAATTTTTCATATCTGCGCAATTTATAACTTGAAAACGGTAAGTAATACAAAAAAAATGTTTATACAAAAGTTGTTGGTAATTATGTACGAAACAACTTAGCGATTTAAAGTTTTCCATTAAAATGATATTTTCAGGGTGAAAAAGTGAAAAAACACTTTTTTTGAGACTTTAGCGCCACCTACAATGCGCATTTTTTGTTGTATGAGATTGCAACAATGACATAAATTGTAGTACTCAACGCCCTCTACAATTATGGTCAAAAAAAAAGTTTCTAAAATGCATACAGAACAAGAAAAATGCGTTTCAAAAAATTTTTGACGGTTTTTTTGAGTTTTTCAAAAAACGCCTACGAGTTGAACATGCCCATCGCCAAGGTGGCTTACTGACGTCATTTGGCAACAGAAAAAACAAGACTTACCCTTTAGGTTTTTTTTTCACCACTCAACCTACAGATTGACTGTACTATAAGAAAATAAAAGAGTTAGAGCTTAGCAATAAAGTGACAATCAGGAAAACAGAAAAAACAAACAAACAATGTCTCTTTGTTATTTTATTTTTGATAAATAACAAATTATATTCAGTTCGACCTTAAATCTACGTGGACTCAAGTCCTCGAAGACAGCTGATGAGATGTCTGAAACTCCAGCCATCCTCACCGTGCTGGTATGAACCCAAACCTCCTATTCTGTGTAGCTTTAGAACTAGTGATGCATCCGATACCGATATATCGGCGATACTTCGGGTTTGCCGATATTATTGAAATATTTATTCAAACTATTACAAAAATAGAATGGTAATAGTGATCGGATAATAACTGCATTAGTTATTAAACTGTGTCGCAGCTATAACGCCCACCTCCAGAAAACAATTTACGCTAAAATAATTTTAATCGCAATCTAAATTTAACATTAAAATAGAAATTAAATGCGTGTTTGTCTTATTTGTGTGTGTGTGTGTATGTGTGTATGTGTGTGTATGGGTGTATGTGTGTGTATGGGTGTGTGTATGTGTATGGGTGTGTGTGTGCGTATGTGTATGTGCGTGTGTGCTAGTATATATCGCCCAAATTTACACTACATGATCAGGCAAAACCCAATATATATCGGCGATGGAGCATCTGATTCAGCATTGAATTGGCTATGGGCTGAAGAAGAAGAAACGCGCCAGTTATCTCGTCCACTTAATTACAAACAAGATACTAAATCTTATTTCGTTCATCCGTTTTGGACCCATAACTATCACATGTCGCTAGGTTGGCGTAGTATATTTTCATGCAAATAGAATTAAGAATGACTTAAGTAAATTAGATCGTGTGTGCTGTGAAAGCAAATCGCGTCGACTAAACGTGCACAGATCACTCACGCGACATTTTGAAGATCAGTCTCTCCACCAATAGCTGAAATAGAAACGTGCTGCTGTTTTTTTTTTACGATTAGGTTTGCTAGTTGGGAACTCATGCGACTTACCTTATGAGCTATACGAATGTTGAGTCCAAGTGGTTCCGTGTTATTTAGCTTAGTCATGGCTAACTTGGCTTCTCTGTAAAAAAAATGAATTCACAATAAGTGATAAGACACAGGGCGCTTTCACACTTACACGACAAACTTTGATTAGACTAAGTAATGAGTATACAATGCAAGTTATGCAAGTAATTATATTGATGATGAGTTTGTTATGATTTTGATTTGTATTTACAATATTAGTACTTGAATATTTATTGTATTACAAACTTGTTATTTAAATAAATAAGGTAATTTCTTATATAACTTTTTTAACAGCAATCAAAAAGAAGAAAAATACTAACCGAAGTGCGAACCACTTCGGTTAGTATTTTGAAATCTTTCTTTCTATTTATGTAATAAACACTTTCTACCTTTGATTATATACACGCTTAAATATCATATTAACTGCACGGATGTGGCGTAAAAGTAACTATACCCTCGTACACACGCACACATTGACTGCTTTCAAACAATCTGACATTCGAATCACGCACAATCGCGTAAAATGAGCCGTTTTTTTTGCGTGGTTTATTTAGATTGCTCTAACCAGGCGTGTATATAATCAAAGCTTTTTAAATTACAAGACACACGCGCTTTTCACTAGCGACTTACCCAGGAGTCTCGTACCGCACAAGAGCATACTTCTTGAGCTGGTCCTTGCTGAGGAACACCTCGGTGAGAGTGCCGAACTTGGAGAAGGCGGTGCGGAGGCCCTCGTCGTTGAGGGCTTTGGGAATGTTGCGTATGTACAGTCTGCAGTGGTCATACTGAGCGCCACCGCTGAGTAACAACGAGGAAAAGTTTCTTTGAGTAAAGGAGACCCGGCACTTTTCATAGAAAAAATGCTAAACTTGTATACAGTTGAATTTGGTCTCAAAATAAAGCCAAAATTATTTGCTACATAAAACTACTTTTGCCTTATTTTTAGTGAATCGTGGAAAGAAGTTATTTAATGATTAATATTTTTTGATATAGAAACCCTTTTGATGAGAAACCTACGTATTTGACATTGACAGCTAGCTGCTGATGACAAATATTGCCAGACTACGTTACCCAAATAGGAAACACAGATAAAAAAATTAAAAAAGTATACAACTTTGGCACAAAATGCCGGGTGTCCTTTAGACTGCAATATCATTGGATATGTACAGTATGATTCACGAAATATGATCACTGCGCAAAAGGCAATTTTAGGTCCTCTTGGAATTTAATGCGTCTAGGTGAAGCGACAACATGGTGCGCGCGCGTCATGATGCGATAAATCGCATCGCGTGCCAGCATCGATGCCGGCATCGCATCGATGCCAAGTGAATGTCAGTATCGTAGTATCACAGGATACGATGTGATATGAATTACGACAGATGCGTGTTTTGTGAGGATCAAAACCATTTTATTTACTTTTCGATATGGTAACTGAAACTATTGAATGCTATTGAGAATGAATATAAAATTGCACTCTGAGCGTAGGTTTTGAACACAGTCCAGTGCCACAAACTTTTCTGTGCCGGTGGCAGAAATATACAAAGATAACATCAAAACATTTTCAATAAAAAGAATTCCTATAATTTTCAATGCTTGAATAACGCATTGGAATACTTTATGGGGTATGCGCTGACAGAATTCTGTGTCTCATACGCGGGAACTCTCCGGTACTGTTTGAATGGAATGTTACAAGTCTGCTATTTGCGCTTTGTTATGAATAATGGCCGCTAAAGACGTCCAAGTGATTTGTTAGTTCAATCAAATTATTTAGTTTGATGAAATTGGTATAGAAATGTTTGTAAAAATTTAATTAAAACGCGTTGCCAATAGAGATGATGACGAAACTTTTTTTGCTTCTTCTGTCAGGTAGATTATCAAAAAGTATTGGTCACGTATTTTTATTTTATTCCCACAATCAAAACAATACAGAGATGTCGCATGACGTCACGTCTTCGTTCAATGTTTACCTAGAAGTACCGTCAAGCCCAAACTCTCAAACATTGACAAGCGTTTTCTTTTTTGATCGATTGACGAAAGTAACAAATACTTGCGTGTCCATTTTTATCATAATGTAACGGACGGACTAAGTACAATTGCGTTTAATTTACCTCATCATTATCCCTATCAGCAAGAAGAAATATTAATTTTCGAATTACTTTTTAATCAAACTATCTGAAACAGCCTGTTTAATCAATTTACTTAAACGTCTATTGCGCGTGGTCAGTTTTTATTTAATACTAGCGGCCCGCCCTCGCTTCGCTTCGGTGTAAAGCTGTAGTGTAGACTACAGTTTTTGTTCTAAGGCTTGTATTATACGCAAAGACATTCATCTATGATTCTTCTTATACCTGCATGCAAAGTCTCAGCCCGATCGGTTTAAAATTGACAAAGTTTTATACAAACTTTCATTCCCTATTTTATCCCCTTGGGGGTAGAATTGATCAAAATCCTTTCTTAGCGGATGCCTACGTCATACCATCTACCTGCATGCCAAATTTCAGCCCGATCCATCCAGTGGTTTGGGCTGTGCGTTGATAGATCACTATGTCAGTCAGTCACCTTTGAGTTTTATATATATAGATAGAAAATTCATTAGTACTTGCCGAAACAATGAACTTCCATAGAATATCTTCTTCTTTCGAAAGTTATTTTTAATCTTTTTTCTTTTACAGACTACACGTTGCATTGCTACACTTTAGAAGACTGGACCAATCGAAAGTAAGCTAAGTTGAAATTACACCTCACTCATAAAGTGCGATTCTAGAGATAGCGCGCACTGCGAAAAAAACAACCGCACAGCGGAATAGCCGCAAGGTTGTGAAGTATGAAATACGAATATTGTAACGAATTTGTTGACAGGGACTGAGAACGGCGCGCCTTGGGTAGGTTGAGTGGCTCTGGGTGGGCTATCGCTTCGTGGAATTCGCGCTAACATTCTATGGGCAATAAAATTCATACTAGCGCAGAGCGTCATTCAGAAAAGTACTATAGCAAATTCACCCTCAACTTACTTTTTCCTTCTAAACTAAAAAGAAAAAATTCGCAACTAACTCTGACAATGAGGTCAGGAGGAAAATGTGCATTACATTACGGAGATAAGGGTAAATCTGCTTTGATACGTTTGTGAATGGCATTCGAAGCGCTTTGACTCTGCGCTAGTATGAATTGACCATACGGGTTAAGTCAATTTCAGAGGCCTAAGAACGAATTTTGACAGCTCCATAATCAAATTTTGTATGGAAGAGAGGCCAGTTTGTATGAAATTTACCGGACGTTAGGCCAGGTAAGGGGCCGTCCATTAATCACGTGATGTATTTTATGTCATTTTTAACCCCCTCTACCCTTTGGTGAGGTTTAAGACCCCCCCCCCCCCATCACGTGTATTTTTTTAATATCTACAAAGAATCTATTTTTTTCAATATTTACAAAATACAGGTATATGTATCACCTATTTGATAATAGAAAATTAAAGACTTCAATAATAACGTTTAGAGGTGGACAGAAAGTTTACAGATTGATTTTGACTGACATAAAAATTATGAATAAAATGTGAAAAGCACGGAAAAGAGCTACAGAGCAGAGTAGTCGTGTGATGTAGAGGTGACCACTTCACAGCACTGTGCACTGCCTGTGTATTGTTTCATGTCTGCCATGAAAATTTCACTTACAACATAGGAATTAGGGTCTAACATAAATTGTTAACTTCTGAGTATCTTCGCCGCTCCTCTCCAGATGTGTGCTGCTTCTTAAATGGGATTGACACAAATCGGCCACCATGGCTCACATATAATAGTCCACTCAAGGACTAAATGTGGAAACCATATCCACTAACAACATGAGATTGAGACTTATTTGATTTAAGATTGTTGGTGCTACTGGACTAGTCGTCCAAACGACTTGGGACATAACAGTGTTACTTTTGGTGCTGCAAGGAGAGCCTTGGGCCATGAAAAGCAGTGACTAGTTAGCATTAGGTGGGCTGCCAGTTTATCTGCCTGCAGAAATATATAAAAAAGAAAACACCTGAGGACCATGCAGAAAGTTTGACAGAACCATAATTTAACAGTCATTCAGTCAGTTTGTTCTTACATCTCTGCCGTCCTCAAGCTAAATCACGGCTAAATGCCTCAACCAACTTTTGAGATATGACCAAAAAACAGCTCATAAACTTAAAATTATTGCTATTTTGTAACCATTCAGCACATGACAGATTTTTAGACTTAAACTATAAAAGACACGAATACTTGTTAAAGACAGATCGATAGAGTATTAAAAACTATATAAGATGCAATTTAGGGCTGAAAAATCAACTACATGTCACTTTGCCGCACTTTAGTTTGAAGACGGCAGATCTGGGACGGGTACAGTTTAGTTTTTATAGAAACTTTAAATGTGCAAAAAATTACAGAGCTGTCAAAGTACTTGCTACGTGTTCAGAGGCCCTGGGCAGAAATATGAAGAAAACTTACCTGGCATTCTCGTCAGGGTATTGCGAGTCACATGTTGTATTATTAAAATCATCATTCATATCCCATTCATTGTTAAGATTACTTGTCCGTCCTCTTGCTGTCATTGTCCTGAATAAATTATAAAAGAATCATATAGAATTATTATAAAAAAATAAATTACTAGCTTATTTTTATCTTGTCTTAGTGGTCTGGTACTAAATTTCAACTGTTTCATTACTGTAGTAAATTAGTATTTGGATAATCACATGATAGCATTTAAGACCAAGTTGGGATTAACTACCTGAAAAAATATTACCTACCACTTACGGAAACAATCGAAATTTTAGTAACTTCAGTCAAAAACTTTAAATGTTGGACAAATACTGAATTGTTAGCGTTTTCAAAAAACCGGCAAGAACCGTTTTTTTAAAAGCGCTTGTTTGTAAAGACCACATGACATGATACACAACGTCGTGTTTAGTACGTCAAATTAAATAGAAAAAATCAAAGATTTATTTTATTCGCACACAAAACACAATAACTATTACAAATTATAAATGTTAACTTACCAAATATAATCAAGAAATAACAAAAAACAATAAAAGACACTGACCGGCGGAAACAAAGAAACAAAAATTCGCGTTTCTACGGATCTGTCAATGGCACAAATGAATATGTCAAAGTCAAACTGTGGTTGGTTTCTTTATCTATGGTGGTTTCTTGTTTCTAGACCTTCTCTAAGTCATAGACTCAAAGCAAGACTCAAAGTCATAGTATCAATGGATGTAGCATTTCATTTCACAAAAAAACATTTTTCTGAGAGTGTCTCCGTCAATCGTCAATGAGCATTGATGGGTGTGTCTAGAGAAGCGGAAAATATCATAATTGTGGTTTTTGTTAAAGATACGAAAATGAAATGGTATTCATTTCTTTTTTTTTTATATTATTACCAGTTTCAAAGAAATATAATTATATTGTTGTGATCAATCGCATCTTATAACCACAGAGAATTGAATTTATGCGATGTACGCCTGCACGACACTATTTAAATTGCTGACGGAGTTACTTTATTACATTCAGGTATTACATTAATAAAAAAATGATATGAAATACATTTCGAAATATAAAATACTTCTTTTCATTATGTATTTCAAATAATGCAATTTGTTTCACAATGCATTTTAATTTTATTCAAAATATGTACCTACATTAAATATGATATCTCGTTAAAAATCAAAAATCATATAGTCAGTCTAGGCTGTTAAACCTAGCACTTGTAAAAATCGAGAAGCTACGCCATCGGTAGGTAAAACTACGGCGCGGGCGGGAGGCCTTGTACTGAAAGGAACCGGCAAGAAAGTCAGCAAGGGCTGTTTTTATCTCCCTGTATGTATTATTATATACAGAGTCGTCAAGTTGAAAAATGACTTAAGGGATAATTCTGAAGTCACCTTCCATTACATACAGGTAGCTTTCCAATTACAGCATTATAGCGCATTATGCGGCATAATGCTTAACGTTGAGTGTTCCAACTACAGCATCGCTTCGCACAATTGAGCACTCTCAAAAGTAATGATTTCGTGTGATGCGTGCAATCGTACCAACTCAGAGACAGAAATTTAACAAGTGTTTTTTCTTTAAGTTGGCATTGATCGAAATGTTTTATTTATATGTTATCATTAGTAATATTATTTATTGTTGAAAAATTATTAAAATTCGATTCATCATAGTTTTTTTTTAAATAATCAAAGTTAATTCAAACTGTGTTAAAAATTAAATATAAATATGGATGAAGGTACAAACATTGACTTTTTTTTTCAACACTGAACTTAGCGCACTCTGCTGGTGCATTTGAAAACTAATTCACGTTCCAATTAAGTATCAGCATAATTCGGCATTGTGCGGCACTGAGTCGCATTATGCTCTGTAATTGGAAAGCAAACACAATAAAGTTCTCACGCCCACTTGACCGTTATAGCGTTATTTTTTTAAGATTCCACTAATTCTTTAGTTGCACAGACGGTTACAAAATCACAATTAAAAATAATTAAAATAAGATGCCAACCACATTCGAAGAAATCCCGCCAAAACCCATAACTTGACAACTGAACTACACTATTTGACACTTATTCAGAGGCCAGTACCAGCAAGACCATTAAAGCGCCTACTGACATGCCTGCCGCGGGAACAATCTAGGTTGCTTTCCAATTACAGAGCATAATGCGACTCAGTGCCGCACAATGCCGAATTATGCTGATGCTTAATTGGAACGTGAATTAGTTTTCAAATGCACCAGCAGAGTGCGCTAAGTTCAGTGTTGAAAAAAAAGTCAATGTTTGTACCTTCATCCATATTTATATATAATTTTTAACACAGTTTGAATTAACTTTGATTATTTAAAAAAAACTATGATGAAAAGAAAGTTTTAATAATTTTTCAACAATAAATAATATTACCAATAATAACATATAAATAAAACATTTCGATCAATGCCAATTTAAAGAAAAAACACTTGTTAAGTTTCTGTCTCTAAGTTGGTACCATTGCACGCATCACACGAAAGCATCACTTTTGAGAGTGCTCAATTGTGCGAAGCGTTGCTGTAGTTGGAACACTCAACGTTAAGCATTATGCCGCATAATGCGCAATAATGCTGTAATTGGAAAGCTACCCTAGAGTGCACGGCTCGGGGCAATATCGGCTTGTCTATACACACATGCCTGCTATTCAGTGTTCGGGGGTATGTTGAGCTAAACACACGCGTTGATGATGGTCCCAGTGTTATTAAAAAATCAGAAGATCGGTAGGCAGGGCCTTGGCTTTTTCTATGGTGTTACCGCAAAAAAGGAAATACTGGGTGAAATTTTTAAAAAAAAAGGATTTTTTTCTAGTAAACTTTTCTTTAGATGTAAAAATCTAGCAGTTAAATGCTTAAAAAATAAATAAAATCATAACTATAATTGCTATTTCTTCTTTCAAATGTTTAATACTTGAAAAAGTATTCATTTGACATTGTGTCATTCATGTCATTTCATGACTTATTGACAGACTGTACCTATGTACTTGATGTAAGATAGTATAATGATTCATATATCAAATTTTATTAAAACAATCACTGTTTTATAATATTACACAAGATATCATTTATCCTATTAATTTTTTATTTATTTTAATATATTAAATATATATATCCAAACAAATGTAACGATTTCTACAAGAAATGGAATGTTGTTTATATGACACTTGACAGTGACAGTCAGTGACAGTTTTAGATCTAACCTAGCGTGTTTGTGTTCAGTTTATTGAGGGTTTAACAAGAAAAAATCCTATTTAGAACAAGTTTACAAATATGAAGAATGGACGATAATGCGAAGAACGCATCTTCGTATCATTTGGACCAGGAAATACTCGACGGTATGTCCTTAGAATGTATTATTATGAAGTTTGAAATTCGAGTACAGAGTTCTCAGAAACGATGCAACAGGTATTTGGTAATATGACGTAGATTTATTTCCTTCGTGTGTGAAGTAATGCTTTGATAATTTTCTGTTTTACGACAAGTGTGGTTTTAATTATTTTCTTGGAACCTGGAATCCAGTGCAATACATTACTTAACTTTTTTTACTCAAATAAAATCTAAATAAAAAAGATGAGGAAGCTATTGGTTTACAAAACACAGATTTTTAAATTTTGCTCATTGAACTTTTAAATATGCAATTTTATTACTGCATTTTACATTACAATTGGATGTTAATGTGAATGGTATGTATTTTGACACTGTTATGTGATTACAATAATTTAAAACTTTGTTGTTGCAATGTTGTTTTGTATGGATGACTCAGTTACTCGAGCAATAAGACTACAAATCATTAATAAAACCTTGTTTATAAGTACAGACAATTGTATTGCTTTTCTTTCATCATTTTCATTTGCTGATTGTTTTAAAATACGTTATTTAATAAAATAAAAATGCTTAATTAATAACTAATTAGATATTTATGCCCAATTGATTTATTAAAAATAAATATTCATAAGTAATGTCACCTAAATAATGCGTTGTATAAATTCTATACTGAAGTGATTGAATGAGAAATATATTAATTTAGTTTATTGTATTGGGTATAACTTTTACACTCAATTACTTTTTCATAATTAGCTAAGTAATCACAAAAATAGAGCTTCTATTGTATAGTACAGGAAACTGTAATGTCTATTATAAATAACCATGACTCAGCTCAGGCAATGTTATGTCTTTGATCAGTAATGGATTTTGGTTTAGCACTTTGGAAGGGTTTGGTCTCATTGATGTAAAATAATATAAAATTAAACACAATAAAATCTCCTTATTCACTTTTCCTTTATTTGCTTTTTCACTTTTTGCAGATTAAAAACTTGAGACCAAATTAAATAAAACTAGTTGCAACGGATTAATGCACAAACTTCATTTATGTATTGACATTTGGCAGACCTTTCAAAAAGGGTGATGTGCGTGAAAACCTAAGAAAAAAATTTAAGACCAAATTCCTATATTTGCTGCAAAAATATCTTTATTCATGGAGCTAATAGAAATTATATGCCAGATGAAATCTAGGTTTCTTAATTTTTGACTGCTTCCAATTAATTTGGTATGTATTTCTAAAATATTAATTATTCAAGCTATTTTGGCATAGTGGTGGTCATTGTCGAAACATGCGTCAAAATGGAATTGTTTTGTCCAGTGGTAGGATTTTCCTTTGATTTTTGTTTTTGTTTGATGAGTGGACAACAGCCTATGAAGTTTTCAGCTACTTTTTGAAGTGAAAATTAAACTTGAAGGGTAGTGAAATGGGTGATGAAAATTTGTATAGGAAACTATATTTATAGCACAGTGTGACCTAAACCCGCACTTTATGCACGCTTTTCTGTGACCTAAGTTGCCTATTTCTGCACGGTGTGTAAATGAATTGACCAACTTCACTCATGTAGAAAAAATAAAAGGAAACACATTTAAATGTCATTTGGAGCTTAAAAACCCACAGCAAACAAATGACAAATTAGCGATAGGTTAGGAATTCTTGTTTGAATTATACTAGTACAAAAAATAAAGCTCATTCCCGTTGTTTAATATATTGTTATGCCAATCAAGGAATAAATGTTCATGGATACATTGAAATTCTATTTTGTTGTAATGATATTTGATTTTTTCCTTTTGAAATATACTTTCAAAATGGTAATCTGACCCGGAATTCTTTCTTTTCAGAGTTTGACAATTCTTTGTGATTGCAATACATGAATTTAACTTTCAAAACACTAATCGCATCCCTCGGGGTGGCCTCCGGCCTCCGGCCCCCCCGAACCCTCCCTCTTGCCCGCGTCCGGGGCGGGTTTATGTCACACTTGCTATAAAATAGTATACGATACGCGTGACCTAAGTTGCCTATTACTGCACGGCGTGAAGTTACCGCCCGAGCGGAGCGAGGCCGTGCAGTAATAGGCAACTTAGGTCACGCGTATCGTAATGTACTATTACTACAAATGTAGTGGGCACCTGCTGGTAATTAAATACTCCTAAATGTCTCAATTCAGTTTGTTATATCACGAATACCTGTCGTTCTCAGCACGTGGTATCAACATGACGGTGGAAGAGGTGGCTGGTTTGCCAACAGGGAAGTACTCTGAGAGGGTGCACGCGCTAAAGCTACCTGAACAAGACCTGGCCTTCCTCAAGGGGCTGCGGAGGAGGATCAAAAATAGGGTGTGTATTTTTTTTTATATAAGAGGTGCAGCAAATTAACTCATTCCATCTGATGTTAAGTGTAGGTGGAATCAAGTCCCGAAGATAGATGATGCGGCAGAAAGTGTGCCACTCCAGCGATCCTCCAATCACCCACCCCACAGAGCCTTGTCAAACACAACACTGCAAGAGGCAGTGTAATTTTACTGTCGTCTTCTGTACAGTGAAGGCTGCTTCCCCAGAGGGGATCTCAAATTCCTAAACCACCTATAATTTTTTAATAAATAAATATTTCCATCACTCACACCAGTTAGCCTAGCCCCAAAGTAAGCACTGTAGGCTTGTGTTATGCGATACTAGGGTAACGGATGTAACGGATATAATAGATATACTGTACATATATTTATATAGAAATACATATTAAACATTCATAACTTGAGTATAAAATACTCGTATTCATCACACAAACATCTGTCTCCAACGATTCTTTCTTCGAGATCTTTCGATTTATGCTTAAAATATCAGATACTACGACACTTATATACGTAGGATACTTATTATCTCGGAAAAATGTTAGGTTCCTGCTTGATTCTCTAAAAACCAAGCGTTAACGCGGACTAACTCGCAGGTTCCCGCTAGTATACTTATATTAAGTATCAGTACATGTATTCTATCCGTCACCCTAGTATCCCATAACAAGAGCCGCAATGCTTACTTTGGGGCTAGGCTAATTGGTGTGTGTTTTAGAAATATTTATTTAGTTACATTATTGCTGCCTGGACCGCATAGAATTGTTTCTGGTTAACTCTTCTTTTAATATTTATTTATTTATAGGCTGATGATGAAGGGAAACTCATGATAAAGACGAGTAGCATTTCCTCTTATTAACACATGTGTTAACATCGCCGTCTGATAAATGCGGTTTCGGTAACTCGACACTCGCCCAACGCAACGGTGTCTCAGTTCGCACGATGCTTACCTCGCCGTCGAATGTGTGTCATTTAGATACATATGCAACAAGTATCAATATAGTGGGTAAATCTACATGCTTAGCTGTAACATACGACACTTCTTGTTTTGTTTTTAGTAATTTTTAGAGGAGCTCGAGTGGTTAAGGCGTTAGTTGTAGCAACTTTCGCAGTGGTCGGTCATTGGATTGGCGACTAACTTTAAAATCTCGTGTTCCGCCGTGCTTCCGAAGGCATGTTAAGCCGTTTTTCCCGGCTGCATCTGCAGTCGTCAGCACCCACCAATCCGTATTGGGCCCTCGTGGTGGTTCATGGCCCAATCTCCCTATTCCATTCATAGGGATTATTATGCCCCAGCAGTGGACATTAATGGGCTGGTGATGATAATGATGTTTATACAGATTTTTTGTCCACCGGAATTAGGTAACCCAAGCACAAACAACTAGCGAGAAATTATTCGCATCGTCATGTCAAAGTTTCTATGGAAAGTTTGTTTGTTCTTTCGTCCGGTAGAGGCGCTGCTTAGACTACGTAGAAACTTTGACATTGGCGATACGAATACTGATCTGCCAAAGTTCGTGCTTGGGATACGGAATTCAGGTATACCAACACCTAGACCGGTTAAGGATGTTACTCTCCATCTTTTAGTGATGCTATTACAAAATTTTTAAGCTGTAATAAATTGTCTAGTATTAAACTAAGCTGGAAGCTAGAACCTACCTTATTATGGAAATAAATATTATTATTAACATATTTAGATTTTACAAAAAATAAAACAGAAACCGTTTGCCAACATTTGATACATATGATATATTTGTAATTCTTTTTTAATAATGAGTTTGACAAACCTATAAAACAGGAAAGAAATAAATCACAAACATATATATACAGTTAGATAATATACACTGCACTGTAGTTAAAATATCTGGCTTAGCCGTTTCGTTACTACAGCAATTGTTTAACAAAAAAGTAATGAACAATGGATAAAATTGTTCACCTTACACCCTTGTGAATGAAGCGAAATGGCCAAACCACGTATTATATAAGTAAGTGAAGCGTGGAGAGTGCAAGCTTGGCTGTATATGAGATCTGATAACTCTTTGACAGTGTGAGAGTCATATGGTCTCGTTTTGGCATTTTTTTGCATGAAAATGTTTTTTGGGATTATTTAATTACAGTAACTGCGACCTAAAAGAAGTAAATGCTGCTGCACAGTCAGTGATTTACAATTTTATTATAAATCTGTGCACATCTGCCCCAAAACTTGGTGAAAATAGCAAAACGGTTGTTAATGTACCCCAAGAAAAGGGAAGTACCTAAAATACTTCCCTGAGGGAAGCTATACCAGGTTCTCTCTATATTGAACCTGAAAACATGTTTCTTTTTCTACATATTGAGTATATTCGTTTAAATCATTGGAAAATACTGGCCAATATCTCAGTTTTACGGAGCTTTTAAAAGTTAATCAAGAATATTGTAAAAATTCAGTAAATCCTGCTTCGTTTCATCCGCTTAAAAAGTGTAAAGTGTTTATTTATTAATGTGAAAATTTTATCATTTCCTTCCACTGACAGCTAGCATCTCAGAACAGCCGGCGTCGATCCATGGAGCACCTGCGTCGCTTGACCAGGGAACTGCGCGTGGTCAGGGCTTGCAGGAACGACGCGCTGGCCGAACGGAAGGTGCTGCTCATGCAGAGAGATGAGATGAGGGAGAAGTGCCACAAGCTGAGACACCATGTCGCTGAGGTAAGTCCTATCGCCGAGACATGGGGTCTGTAATAGCTTCAGCCATCGGAACAGTTGTATTATCAAAACTCGTGGTCTAAAACAGCAAGATTTTTATTTTCATCATCATTAGCCTATTTACGGTTAAAGACATTTATGTCCCCACTGCTGGGTCGCAAGCCTTCTCTATGGATGGAAAAAAGAAGATTAGGTCAAGTTCCTTCACGTGGGCCCACTGGCGCTAAATACTGAGGTAAGTTCTATTACTAAAACAGCGAGTTTTTTTAACCACCCACCCCACCAGATGCTAAGTGACGGGGGAGTCCAGCCTAGAAGATAGCTGGTACAGCAGTTTTACCAGTCACGCCAACCATCCTGTAAGTTGCTTCTTCGCGCCCCTCAAAGGATCCCGTGTTATAAGAGGGAAGGAATACTTGAGCGAGCAAGGATGGTGCGACAAAGAAAAGAGTCACCAAATCTCTTAGTTCGCGTTGGAAAAGTTACCATGTAGTTGTTGCGAGCCCAATCAGCTAACTATTAGAGTAATGACCGTGTGCCAGCATGGAGCACCTGCGTCGCTTGACCAGGGAACTGCGCGTGGTCAGGGCTTGCAGGAACGACGCGCTGGCCGAACGGAAGGTGCTGCTCATGCAGAGAGACGAGATGAGGGAGAAGTGCCACAAGACACCGAGACAAAGGGTCTATAATAGCTTCAGCAACACGAACAGTTGTGTCATCTGATAAATGTCCCCACTGCGGCAGCAAAAGCACAGGCCTTCCCTATGGACTAGGAATATGGGAAACGTGGGTCAGGTGATAACGACAGCAGATGCTTTCGAGATCAAGTGTTTAACGTGCCTTCGACAACACTGAAGAGATAATGAATTATTGGCCACCCATCCTTAGAACGCTCGTTGCAAAATTTACTTAACTTCAATGATCGCATACATTGGGTCCGCTAATCGCTTGTGAAATTGATCTCCTGCAAAAGATCCATCTCATCTTATTATACGTGTTATTAAGGATCCATAGTCTGTATTAAAACTTTGCTTATTTTTTATCTATTCAAGACATTTTTTTTTTATTAATAGGGTATTTGACAAGTTTTAGTAAACGATCTCACGGTATTAACTAATGTTTATAGAGTCTATAAAAAGTGGATATTCATCATTATATTGTATATTTCGGTAAAAAAACTAAATAAAAAACTCATTTTTTCAAGTTGCCGCGAAAACGTATCTCTGGACAATATGGTGTCTCACTGGTGTGTGATGTCACTCGACTGTTATTAAAACGTCAAACCATACAATCTAATGTCACTTTAACCGGAAGTTTACTTGCGTGTGACGTAATTTTAGGCTCCACCAATCCCAAGCGTTTTGGATCACGTGACAAAAGACAAGAAAACTATTATCTTTATCGTGGGTTTTTAGAAAAAATATTAATATATTTTCTGTAAAAATAGTAAAAACTCCTGCCAATATTCTTTCTAAATATATATGCTAATATTTGGCACTTTATTTTTAAAACTGTCAAATACCCAATTATTTAAAGTACTTTAACTCCATATGCTAAAGTCGTAGGACACCTTGTGCAGATAAATTAAAACCAAATCTTTAATTCCAGACCCTCAGAGATCGCTTAGATGCAACCGAAGTGCCAAACATGGACGTGACCATAACAGAATCTCACGCCGATCTGCCCAAAGACACAATCAAAGACAACGCAAGCGTAGACCACGACCAAACCATAGACAAGAACGTTTTCGAGTGCCGAATAGACAAACTAGTCCAGAAGAGCGTCAACCACATGTTCAACAATAATATTAGTAAAAGGAAGATTTTTGCCAAAACCATTTTTATTGGGGACGAAAAAAAATCTTCGTTTTTCGATAGTCCCGAATTCTTTCGCGGGAGGACTTCTTTGTTTGCTAAAACTGATGTAGATAAAACAGTTGAAGATGTGGGTAGTTTGAAAACTTTGGGTGATAATAGGGTATTGAATTTGTCCGTGAAAAATGAGGGTAGGAGAAGCCATGGGCGCAAGCAGTCTGCGCCAAGAAGAATAGCGTATGTGGATTATGATGGTGAGACATTTTTTTTCTAATATTCCTAATATATATAAATTACCCGTCACATTGTTTGTCCACGGATGGATTCCTAGGCCCGTATTATAGAAAGATTCTCAGTAATTAATCCAGTCTTGAGCATAGTCAGAAAGGGATGTCGCTATATATAGCACATAGCGACATCCCTCTCTAACTGTACTCAAGTAAAGATCAACACTTAGTTGTCATTCTGTAATACGATCCCTAGACTACTTAACAGATTTTAGTCAAATTTGCACACCGTGTGCAGTTTGATCCAACTTGAAAGATACACTACACTCAATTTATAGTCGCAATATTATTTTATTGCAAATTATATTATATATATATTATATTATTGACGACCTCCATGGCCGAGTGGTTTGTACGCCGGGTTTCATGGTGTCGCCGACTCGAGAGGTCCGGGGTTCGAATCCCGGTGGGGGCAGATGTTTGTGTGATGAATACGAGCATTTGTACTCCAGTCATGGATGTTTAATATGTATTTCTATATAAATATGCTTATATATGTACAGTATATGTATTCTATCCGTTACCCTAGTATCCCATAATACAAGCCTTACAGTGCTTACTTTGGGGCTAGGCTAATTGGTGTGAGTGTTGGAAATATTTATTTATTTATTACTTTTAGGCGGTACGAAGTTCGCCGAATCAGCTAATAAATAAATATTTCTAACACTTACATCAATTTCCCTAGCTCCAAAGTAAGCGCTTGTGTTATGGAAAACTACAGCCACAGATACTTAATCTGTTAATACTAAATCTCTTAATTTATATAGAAATACATATTAAACATCCATGACTGGAGTACAAATGCTCGCATTCATCACACAAACATCTGCCCCCACCGGGATTCGAACCTCTCGAGTCGGCGACATCATGAAACCCGGCGTACAAACCACCCCGCCACGTAGTTCGTCTTATAGGTGTTGAAAAAAACACATAATAAATATGGTGCCTTTGTATGCTTCGATTAACAATTCTATAGATGACGGGTCAGCGCGTAAAATCCGTCTCGGTAAATATAGCCTCACTTGAGGCGTGAGATCTTATTTTAAATTAGTTCGGTAAATAATGGTAAAAATATTTTATTTTGTGGTAAATTTTACATTTTCCTTTTTCTACCTATATTGTTTTTAGGGTTCCGTACCTCAAAATGAAAAAACGGAACCCTTATTTATTTATAGGATCACTTTGTTGTCCGTCCGTCCGTCTGTCAAGACCGTTTTTCTCAGGGACGCGTGGAGGTATCAAACTGAAATTCATATCTAATACTCATGTCTACTGTCCCTTGGAGCTGGGAAAAAAATCAAACTTCTAAGTCAAAGCAATCAAAAGATACAGCCGTTTGTGCCGCAAATTTCCGCAAATTTCCGCAAATTTTCGAAACTTGCACGGGAATCAAAACCTACAGGGTACTTCCCGTGAACTTAGAATCTTGAAATTTGGTACGAAGTAACGTCTTCTGGTACAGATAAAGGAAAAATTGCGAAAACCGTAAATATTTAGTTAGGTACATCATATAATAAAAAATATTTTTGAAAATTCAGATTTGTACTTAACCCTCGGTGTGCGAGTTCGACTCGCACTTGGCCGGTTTTTTTTCCAAGTATCAGATATAATTTGTTAAAGGAACAAGAGTTCGTTTTATAAGATAAAAGGTCGTATGTGCGACATAACAATTTGTTATTTGTAACCTTATTCCTTTGTGAGGTGGTTGTTATTAGGTTCAACTTAAACTGTATTAAAATATATATCTTAGTTCATTGGGAGTCGAATGTAGCTGCATAAGTTTAAACATACGCGGACAGTTTTTAATTTTCATTTTGTATGCAACCCGTTATCTAAAGAATTGTTGATCGGAGCATGTATGCGAGCGTGTGGTAAAATATTTTACCGCACGCTCCGCTGTATGGCCTGAAATTTGTAACTTTCGAACAATGTATACAACCTCCGTAAATGCATATACTGTGTATTAAACTCATTAATAAGGAATACTGATCCGTCTTTTCCCAGTGGGCACTTTGGGCAAGTGCCCAAGGCCCCGCGATCGATAGGGGATCAGGTCAAATATAAAGCCCCTAGTTCCTGTTAAATCACAAAACGGGGGTCATAGGGACCCCATTATCCTAATATGACCAGGGCCTCCAATAGGTCAAAGACGGCACTGCTCGCACCTCTGGGATGGCTCCGCCAAGTTCTTGCTCGATGCTTTGGATAGGTTACAGCGGCGCGCGATCCGCATCATAGGCGATGAGGAAGTGACTAAACACTTCGAGCCACTTCAATTACGCCGCGCGTGGCGTCACTAAGCGCGTTCTATCGTCTGTACCACGGCGAGTGTTCTGAGGAGTTATTCTCTCTTATTCCACCTTCCCCTTTCCTTCAGAGGACCACGCGCGCTGGCCTACGTTGTCACCGTCTAACTGTAGCCACAATTCCAACGCGTACAAAGAAATTTGGTGACTCGTTTCTTTCTCGCACTATCCGTAAATGGAATGCTCTGCCCGCTCACGTGTTCCATCGCTCTTACAATCTGGGATCCTTTAAAAGAAGCTAGAAGAAGCAACATGCAGGCCGGCAGGGTGAGGATGGCTGGTGTGGCAGGTAGAACTGCTGTATCAGCTATCTTCATCAGGTGGGGTGGAGTCATTACAATGAATACAAATTCGACAATAGGCTAGTTGACCCTTTTTGGGAAAAGGTTTTAAATGGTTAATAAATGTTCTATTAGACCGAAAAAAAATGTATTGTATTTTTTTGAGACCTAAAAAGCTACAAATCTTTAATTTTAAAATAGATTTTTCATGGAAATACAAAAACGCTGTCGGCCATTTTAGTCTATAGATTATCTATGCTATGACGTTAACTGCAGTAAACAAAAACTCGTAAGCACGTAGAAAATAACTTAACTGACTTTATAATACAAAAGAACATGATTTCTTATAAATACCACGAAAAATAAAGTAATTATCATTATTGTTTTGTACGAGAATATAAAAACACATCCTTGAAGACTCCAGGAAAGTTGTGGATTAAAGTGCCGAAAGAAATTAACCTACGCAACTTTATTACACTTATTCATATGTTGTATCAGTTTTATGTTTATTACTACATTGTAATACTAAAAACACTGTACTTACATAGATGCCTTGTCGTTTCTCTGCTCCGCAAAGCAGAAATCGGGGTTAAGTGCAATAAATTCACCAACCATCAATGCGTCAATTCTTGACAGATTTGTGCTTTCTGTTTTCACAAAGCCGGCATCCATGATTAGTTAAAAAAACAGTAAACGGAATCTTTTCTAAAGTTAAAAGTGTTTTAAGATAAATTTAGTCAGACGTAAGAATGCACCCACAGTAACACGCGAATGACATTTAGTTGTTTACCATAAGAGACGTCACAATCATGGCGGATGTGTTTAAAAAATATAGACGAAAAATATTTTTTAAAATTAAATTTCTACAGCAATCTTCTGCTTTTATGAAGTGAAATCGATATATTTAGGTTCCTTAGACCAAATACTTTAAGAAATAAACATTTATTTAATACAATTCGACATGAGTCAACTAGCCTATTGAGCTAGAAGCAACTTGTTATCCCTCTCACACTTATTAGTTAACGGAAATGACGTCATATTTCTATAATGCCTTCTCTTACAGTATATAATACAGTTTATGATTGGTTAGTGTGTCCGCCCAGGTAGCGGAAGGCGCAGGTTCGATTCCTGATACCAGGAGCTAGCAGATTTTTTTAAATTTTCTTTCGTTCCTTCACTCTTAAGTTAACTGTTTTTAGTTTCAGACTGTGTTTTGGATCTGAAGATCAAGAAAGAACCACAGTGACACAGAAAAAGGAGACGTATTCCTTATGAATAAGAGGCGATTATTGCTTGGCAAAAGAATCTGATGTTTCCAAAATTTTTAAGGAGTGTTTTAGCCAAAATATATATCGTCGTGAAGTCTTAAGCGTATGTACAGACCAAATACTATTATTATATTGCGGTTGCAAAGTAATTTAGACTTTATTATGTAAGCGTTAACGTCCATTGTACCACGGTTTTTATCATGTCTCAGGTTGGACCTAACTTTTTAATGTTATTATTATTGTTTTTTATGCAAAAAGAGAAAGATGGAAATTTTCCAAAATTTTTATATGATATTTATACTAATTTTAGATATATAAAATATATATTATTCTATATATACAATATACATTATTATATCCTTTCGTGTGAAGGGTAACGAAAATTTTTGAATCTACAATAATCACAAGTCATGTTTAAAATTTCAATTTATTAGTAACTTTTGTTTTAAATTAAATTTTAATATGTCAATGCCATTCCGTTTTGTTGAAACAAAATGTATTAATATTAAACATTAATTTCTACTAACAAAAAGTAAATAAATATAATCTTAAAATAGATAAAAGGTATTTTCGGAATTCAAATTTTGATTTTGCTCCAAGAATAAAATCTATAAATACGTCCAAATTATTAGATAGATGATAAAAAAAAAATATGAAAATAAACTTATTTTTTTTATAAATGATCATAATATCTTTGTTTATTTTTTATTAATTCTGCACTCAAAGACGTTATTATTAAACTTTTAAGTTTCATTGAAGTTGATGCTGTCATCTGGACGATATTAAAAAAAAATCAACATATCACTTTGATAAACATTTAATTTATGTCTTTTGTGTAATTTTTTTATCTTGAGTTGATTGGATTTGGCACTATTATAATATAAGGTAAAACTGTACTTTCTGGGCCCAGGAGTTGACACTTCATATTTTTTTTATTGAAAATAACTCTTAATAACGAAGTATTTTTCTGGCTCTTCGCTGGCCGCTGCTGTGGTGCGCTCGCTTCGATCGCTCAGCTCGCGAGATATAGTCACAACACTAACCTAACCCAACCTAGTGTAAAGTATCAACTCATGGGCCCAGAAAGTACAGTTTAGCTGTTTTTTTTAATACACAGGGAAGATAGAAGTATACAAATTAATAATACAATTGTGAGATAATTTATAAGTGAACGTGACATCTCTTGAGTGCAATTATATTTTTGATTATTACTGTTAAATAAATAAATGGCGAATATCTGATGCAATCTCAAAACACTTGGGCAGATTTTTTCTACTGAAGTCCGCAATGTGACTCAATTTTTTCTGGCCAATAAACCTAGTCATGCTTATAGGCCATCAAAAACCGAGCGATCCTATTGGTGAATATCCCCTCGTACACAGTTACGTCGTATATCATTGGATGAAAAATAAATTAGGAATTATTATGAAAAAAAAAAGGTTTTAACAAAGGAGTTTTCGCTGGAAAATAGCATCAAATCTTAACTCAGTCTTTATTAGGAGTTATTGTACGCAATACTATGGTTTAATAAATAAATAGATTTAGTAAAATTTGCAAAAACAAAAACAGATTATTTAGTCTATTCCATGCTGTAATAAACATATTTATTTGGCAATTTCAATTCTGTGAAAATTCTTAATTTTTCGATGAATTGTATATTTTCTACATAAAAGTTTGTTTTGTATAAATTTTCTGTTATGAGTTATCCCTTTCAAAATTGACTGATTGATTAAGATGGTGTAAAAAAACCGGTTGGAGCGATTTTTTGTAATGAGAGTGTGGAAAAAGTTGATAATCTATGAAATATCTTTTTTAAGGGCCATAAGTGGCCATCTATATTCTCTGATAGATAAAAAAATAGAATAAAATAACGACTTCAACCAATAGGGATGATGACTAATTTTTTTTTCTTCGTTTATCAGGTAGATTATCAAAAAGTATTGGACACGTATTTTTTCTTTTTTTACATAATACAAACATTGCAGAGATATATTGATTTGGAAAAGTCGCATGACGTCACGTTTTGGTACAATTTTCACTTAAAAGTGACGTCACGAGCCTCTACTCTCAAACTTTGACGCGCTATAACTTTGTCATTTTTTGGTTGATTGCCCAAAGAAAAAATACGTGTCCATTATGTTTTTATCATCTAACTGACGGACTAAATAGAATTTCGTTTACTGTACCCCGTCATCACCCCTATTGTTCATTTGCTATTATCACTATGGGAAATAATGTGCCACTGGTCTATAATTTAAAGGGAAACCAGCTTTGCGGATAAAAAATCTTGAAATTTGTCCAATCGATATGAAACCTTAGCTGTAAGGCTTAAAGTCTTTGGTTTGAAAAGTTGCCAATGTGTCCATAACTCTACGTATTGTTGCCAGAACAATTATATGTTTCAACCTTAATATGAGAATGATGGATGCGGTTTTTATTATTGTTTCGATACGTGTTAACACAAAATAGAGAGTACAGAAGGTAATCTCATGTATGTACTTCTTTTTTTATACCCACTTATACCTACACTCGGCGGTAACGCTAGGACTGTCAACTTTGTTATGTGCACAAAAAAAGCATGGTACTTCTACGTATAATGCGATTTAACTAAGAATAGGATCGACTGGGCACCATTTTGTGATGTGAAAGCTATCAATTGAAACAAAATAAGTAGAGTGAGCAATAAAAGTTTTTCTTCGATAAAACTTATTTACTAAGATTAAGTGAGAAAAAACATCAGGTTTTTTTTAAATAAAACTTATTTACTAAGATTAAGTGAGAAAAAACATCAGACTTTATTAATAAAATTTATTTACTATGATTGAGAAAAAAAAACACTAATTTTTAATAACATTTATGAATGTGTGAGTAAAAATATTAAACGGAATCTAGCTTTTCAATTCCGCTCAGCTCTGCATAACTACCGGAGTTGTCATCGTCGTCATGTTTGTTTACAAATGTTTGTTTTTTTTATTCTAGAATTAGCTGAGTGCTAAAAAAGAGTTCCAAGATTTTTTGCAAACCGTACTTTTCAAGCGTCATTTGACAGATGGGGGTCATTGGCTTTCCTATTCTTATTTGAATCGAATTATATCTAATTGTTGATAATGGAAATTTAAACAGATATTAACAAAAGTATTTTAATGTTATTGTTATAATCAGAACAAATTTAAAAGAAACGACAATTCATCATTAAATGTTGAGTTCAAACAACCATCAAATGAACAGTAATTATGTATATCCTTGTTTTTTACACATTTTTGTGCAAAATAGTTCACAGAAGCGTGTCTGAAGTGGATGGAACACGAACTCGCACTCCCTTATTAATAAACGAGGAATAAGCTTGTATTAGTTACTCCATGTTTTGTCTCTGTTCATCGAATGACATAAATACCCTTAGTACGAGTTTTAGCTCACGAAAACTATCATAGTTTTCGTAATTGTAAATTATGTTTCTATGTCGATTTTGGTAAAAAGTATATTGATAAGTAGTATATTGATATTTATTTAAAATTTAAGAAGACGCAAATGATTTAATGATAGAATTTAAACACTGTTTATTTGTATTGAAACGAAAAAAATAAAATCAGTACCTACCAGCTCACGAAAACTATCATAGTTTTCGTAATTGTAAAAGTCGAACTAAGGGTAAAGGCATTTGAGTGACATGAACAAAACACGGTGTAACTAGTCTAAACTTATTCCTTGTTTATTAATAAGGGGGACAATGTGTCCCAAGCGCTCCGAGATGTTATGTCCGTGAGCGGTGTCTATGTATGCGTTACTCGAGCGCACATTGTACGTCGACTACCTTCTGTACAATCTACATTGTGGTGTTACTTAACACTTAAGGTAGATGTTTATATTGTGACCTGTAAGTGCCACTAGAGGGGGTCTATCAGAGCGCAAGAGAAGTTTTCGAATTGTTTCAAAACGATCTTCTATTCCATGAATGTTAATCATAGTTTTGTTATTATCATAACAGTTTTGTTTTGACAGAATTAAATTAAAAAAACATGTAAAAACGTTTGTCGAGCTGAGTTTTGCAACTACAAATAAACAAAAATATTTTTATATATTTTAAGAAGCATTTAACCGATTTTGATGTTTAAATCTAAAATAAAAAGTTTAAGTCGAATTTCCATTAGATTTAACCAAAAATATTTTTTGGATAAGTAAATGGGTTTATTCAAAAAGAAAGGGGGCAATACAACTTTCTCAAAAAAAAAAGAAAAATCTTACTTAACTACTACTTGTTTTAATAATAATAATAATGGTATATTTATCTTAAAATAAACCATTATTATTATTATTAAAACAACTATTTTTGGAGGTGCTAAAGAAGGATGTTGGCTTACTGTGGCCCCTATTCCTACACGAACAAAGAAATTTGATGACTCATTTCTTTGTCGTACTATTCGTAAGTGGAATTCTTTGCCCGCGCACGTGTTCCCTCCTTCCTACAATCTGGGGTCCTTTAAAAGGCGTGAAGAAGCATTTTTGCAGGCCGGCAAGGTGAGGATGGTTGGTGTGGCAGTTTATAACTGCAGTACCAGCTATCTTCGCGTATGGACTCTATCACCACTATAAAAAAAAAACAGTTTATACCGACTGGGAAAAAATAATTTGTTGTGTAAAATTTTTGAAATCTCATAGGTAGTAGAAAGCTTAAACAAAACATATCCCGCTTTATTACAAAAGGTTCACTAAAGTTAAACGAGGTTTAAAAATGATGCTGTCATTTTTGTTTGCTAAAAAGAAGACGTAGACAGCATTACGTTTAAGCCATGACTAAGCTTCAGTCCACGTTTTGGAATAAGGCACATTGAGTTTTTGGAGGTAGCGATAAACTTGTAGGGAAAAACTACAGACAAATAAACTTGCGCAGTTTAAAACTTCACAAATTATTTAATGTGCTCTTTGAATTTAGACTTTAAATTCTTTAGATTTATATAGACTTTAGATTCAGTTAACTCGTAACCTTTTTGTATGTAAAATTCCTACTGCGCAGGCTTCCTTGACTATTCTTATATTATATTGTCTTGACTATTCTTGGTCGTTGCTCAAGATTTTTGCCGGATGGAGCACAAAATGTGAAAGTGTCGTTTTAAAATTTAATTCGCAAACTTCTTTTAAATAAATTAAATACGATAGTAGACCCCCTCGACGTATTAAAAAAAATGTTAAGAAGTCCATTTTTGAGGTATAAAGAATTTTTATAATTATTATAAACTATACATGCCATGAATTATATTAATGACAATTTAAAAGTTATATATATACGGTTATACAATGTGTATAAATGCATAGGTTTTAAATGCTTAGAAATAAGAACAAATTGTATGTATAGAGTCGATAATGTGATGTTGAGTTTAAATAAATAATATTAGTTACCTAAATTGAGTTTTTTTTCTTTTGAATAAATGAATGAATATATTCTTTATTGCACTATTACACACAATACAGAGAAAAACACAGGAACAAAAACACAAAAGGCGGCCTTATTGCTAAGGTAGCAATCTCTACCAGGCAACCTTTGGCTAAATGAAACCATAACATAAGAATAGTAGGAACAGCGGGCTAGTGCATTGTAAAAATAAATAAATAAACGTAAATATAAGAATATATAATATAGTAAGTATGTAAGGAAGCTATAAAATACAATAAATAGTAATGAACAGATAAAAAAGATCAGGCAGAGTCCAGCTTGAGGAAATATTCCTTTTGAAATCTTCTCTCAAAAATTAATCTGTGTGGTTTTATGAAACCAAGCAAGTAAGTAAAACTTATTATCATAATAATAAATCCTTTCCCGGTTGAGATTCGAACCCCGATCCGAGCCACGGATGCTTGCTAATAAGATCTTGTTTTCTTAATAACAATAAAAATTATAATGCGACACGCTAAAGTTTGCGGCGATGTTATAAAAGTTTTAATTTGAAAACTACGCCATATTGATATTGGGAAATGGTACGATAAACAGTTCTCATTATGAAACATTTTCCAGTTTGCGTAGACAGTGCAATGAACTTGAAAGTTCTTGTTATAAGAAATTCATTGAAAGGACAGAGAAAAATACTAAAAATAATGTATACATCAAATCTAAAAAGTCAAATAACCGCATACCGGACTGCTTATTTCTTGACAACGACACTTCCTCAGAGGGACATGTAATTGCGGAAACTTTCATTATTTTTCACTCGGTATTTGAAAAGCAATCCTATATTTTTTCTGCTGGTGCCCCTTTTTTCTAAATCCCTATTACGGCGCTGAACTGAGACTTATCTTAAATATATTTAAGAAGAACTTGAGTGACTGGCTGAGAATCAACGCACAGCCCAAGCCGCTGGGTCTAGAGAATCCAAATTCGGCGCATGTTCCTTGCGTGGCCTGGACATGCACTAAGGAACGATTTTTCAAAATTCACCCTCAAAAGGCTTAATATAGCGGATGACTTTCATCCAAAATCATAAAAAATAATTCGTTAAGCTAATAGACTTGCAGCTTGCGCGAATACTAATCTAAATAAATAATAAACTTTGTAAATTTTAGTTTTCCTAAACCACACCCTAAAGAGAGATCAATATATGAAAAATAAAAACTAGTTTTTACGGGTTAATGCACGATTCGTAGCCTTTACAGGCTTCGTCGTCAGAATGTCGACGTAAAAACTAGTTTTTATTTAATGAGTGATGTGCGTGAAAACCTAAGAAACAAATAGAGATCAATATATTTCGATTAACTTGAAACGCAAACGCAATAAATGGAGAATAACATGCATCAGGGTTCTTTAAAACTCTACCCCTAACCGGGTGAAAAGGGGAAATCAATTCCACTGAGGAGTATTTCACGGCTGGGTTGGATGAAAAAGGCTGAACAATTTGGATAAAATTTGGCACACACGAATAAAGTTTATTTGGTACCTGGATCGAGACAAAGCATCATTTAACTTCGCCAATGAACTGGAATCCACTTACATACACATAAAACTAGACTGGACTCGATATAAAAAAGAACAAGCATTTACAAATTATTAAGGAGGAGTACAATGGCGCAGCAACTTTCGCAATGGTCGGTCTTTGGATGGGTAACCAACAAAAAATATCTCGAGATCCGCCGTTCTTCGGAAGGAAAGTTCAGCCGTTGGTCGCGGCTGCATCTGCAGTAGTTAGAATCCCCACCAACAGTGCCGTCTTTGACCTATTGGAGGCCCTATTGATCGCGGGGCCCTGGGCACTTGCCCAAAGTGCCCACTGGGAAAGAGGGGTCTGCCCACCAATGACATTAAATATTTATTACGTTGCCTATCACTGCAGATTGGTGGCACCAATCTGCAGTGATAGGCAACGTAATAAATATTTAATATCGTTGACCTGCGTGCGAAATCTTATTCTTTCCATGGGGTGTCTTCCCCATGTGCCTCAGTAGTGAGACATAAATAGGGGCTGATATTGAAGGTTCTTCAAAAGGAGCAAGCAGCTCAGAGGGGCAAATAATTTACGATTGTGGAAGTTAATAAACTTTCGCAATGGTCAGTCATTGGATGGGTTAAGCCGTTGGTCCCTGCTGCAGTCGTTAGCGTCCACGGGTCGGGTGGGAGTGGTCAGCCATGGTGCAATCTAACTATTCCATCCACAGAAAGCCTGTGCTCCAGCAGTAAATGATGATGTGGTCATCTAATTTATTTATTTTGTATAAGTAAATATATTTTTTGCCAAGCGCTACCTAGTGTTGAAAAGCTAAAAGCTACTCCAACGCATGCTTTTTCTATCATACAATAATTTCATCAAAATAAAACAGATGGCGGTAAAAACAAGAAATGTTTTTGTGTTATGGCGACATTGCCAATAACATGCGCCCTCTATCATTGGTAAACAAAAACTTTCCTTTTGTCTCGCTCGCTTATTATCCAATATGGCGGCAGACGGTGTATGAAAGGTGCGGAATGTTTTGATTTTGATCGAACAATAAAAATAGAGAAAACTCGTGATTCCCCGAGGGGAAAAACGCAATGGCCGGTGCAATAACGCGTGTTTTGTGAAAATACTGAGTGATATATCGGTGCGTGTGCGTTGTGCTTGTAAAAAAGTGTTATTTTATAAACTGTTTTTCTGTAAGATTTGTTGCTAATGTGGTCGCGTGTGATAATATGTGACATCAGTTTACCCGATAGATATGTCTACCGATCCTGATAATAACACTCCATGTCCGAATGCGACTGAAATCCGCGATTTCTTAGACTCTTCCCCCCAAATTGGGGAAAAGAATGATGGTACAAGTGAGAAAAAGAAGAAACAAAGATCAGTGTCCTTCCCTGATGATGTCCAGCTAGTTACGCAGTACTTTGAACCTGCGAACCCTTGGCAAGATGGTATGTACAACTTTTTACCCTGACAATTTGAATTATAACACTTGTCATTGTTCAAAGCATCAATTTTTACTTTTCGGTATCCATGATATTGACTTCTACTTCTGCAGCCTATAAAAATAATGAATTACTTAATTTAGATGTAGTTTTAATGTTACTGTAGCCTCTATGGTATGCAGGCCTTCACTCTTTGTCAGGTAAACAAAGCATGGACTTTGGTTGTTTAAAACAAAATGAAAATACATTATAGCTATAATTAGATGGAGTTATTATTCCCATCTATTTCTTCAGTGGACAATTTCTGTTTTATAGATGCTGAAATATCGAAAATTATGGTTCATAAAGGCAACAGTATTATAATCAGAAAGTCATGTATACTTTCAGAAAACATTCAATATTACAATAGTTTTTCATAAAAGTCAGGAGATTTTCATACATGTATCCAATCATCTCAAAAATGCATGACATAGTGAAAAGCTACATAATTTATTTATTTTCATTTGGGAAACATACAGTTTTACACAATTCAATTAAGTAACACTTAACTATTACTTTTTCATAAACCAGTTAAGTTTCCACACACTGAAATCATACATTACAATGATTCATACACTAACATAATTTACTTAAGATTACGTACAATATTTAGAGTTATGTGAATAAAAGAAAATAATTACTAAGTGTTAGGGTAAAACAACCTTATAGCATTCATTTCTAAATTGATTGTAAGAAAGGCAAAATATATCCAATCCCCTGAAGTATTTATTATAGCGGTGACATGCTCTAGAAATGAAACTATTTGCAGCAAACTTGGATAATCAAGGAATAAATAATTTAAGTAAATCATTAGAAGGAAATTTCAAAAATTCTTTTTTAAGAAATATCAGTGAAATAAAGCTCATTATGTTATCATCATCATCATCAGCCTTTTAATGTCCCCACTGCTGGGGCACAGGCCTGCCTTGTGGATGGAATTGGGAGATTGGGCCATGACCCACCACGCAGGCCCAGTGCATTGGTGGGTGCTAACGACTGCAGATGCAGCCAGGACCAACGGCTTAACGTGCTTTCCGAAGCACGGAGGAGGAGGAATTTTCGGTCACCCATCCAATGACCCACCACTACGAAAGTTGCTTAATAGTCTTAATTAATAAAATAGTCTTTAGGGTTTTCATTTATAGAAATCCTAGCTAGTATATGTGTAGTTTAATAATATTTATTTAACAATAGTAAAATTATACATTAACATTAATTTTATAATATGGACCTTCCCATTGTGTATGAAAATGTCCACAACCAAGTGCAAATTGTGCCTCCAAACATAGATGAAAAGGTGACAAAGATACCAATGCAAATGAATTCAATTTATTTTCCATATTAAATTTTTTTTTGAGTGGCAATTATTATTACCAAGTGCTACAATTAATGAGTGCATATCTTGAATGCCCAGTCCCCTAATGTTTATGTGTCACTGAACTTTTCAGTCTGTTCCTTGAAAAATTTATACCTATTCAATTAAACCACAATGTTGCATTTTTAGCCCTGCTGATATGTGGTGTAAGCCACTTTGAACCTTACTGTTACTGTAGAAATAGCACTGTTATTCTGATGCAACCTATACTTATATTATAAAGTTTGATTTTTTGTTTGGTTGAACATGCTAATTTCAGGAACTACTGATCCAAATTGAAAAGTTATTTTTGTGTTGGAAAGCGCATTTATCGAGGAAGGTAATAGGTTAAATAACATTAGGATATGACCAATAAGAACGGAGCACCACTGAAAAACGTTGCAATAAATAGGAAGAATATTCCATTTGAAAGCTTTCGTTGCATCATCATCAGCCTATTAATGTCCCCACTGCTGGGGCACAGGCCTTCCCTATGGATGGATAGGGGGATTGGGCCATGACCCACCAAGCGGGCCCGGTGTGAATTGGCGGGTGTTAACGACTGCAGATGCAGCCAGGACCAACGGCTTAACGTGCCTTCTGAAGCACGGAGGAACTGGAGATAGATGTTTTTGGTTACCCATCCAATGACCGACCACTGCGAAAGTTGCTTAACTTCAACCATCGCAGCCGAACGCGCTAACTACCTGCGCCATCGAGCTCCTCTTCGTTGCGTAATTGGTAACAATTGCACAAAAATCACATATGGCAGAATTGTTCCTCTTTAAAAGTTTTATAAAAATGTCAGTGACAGCATTTGTATATCTTGTATGGGTGACACTATAACCTTTTTCCTCAAATCAATGTGGATGAAACCGCAGGGCAACTCTAGTTTTCTTTAATGTGAAGGAGACCTGATTCTTTGACAAACAAGAATTTTAAATAAAATACTTTATTAAGTAAATTAAATAATAAATTCATACATAGACAATGACATTTTAAAAATCTTCCAATGAAATAACCGAACGCTCAATATCAGTTTTTCGAAGGTAGCTCGACAATTTTAAATAAAAAATCATTATTCTGATGATGCAGACCTGAAAAGGCTGCGAAACGTCAATAAATAAATAAAGTTTTGTGCATTAACCCGTAAAAACTAGTTTTATTTAATGAGTGATGTGCGTGAAAACCTAAGAAACAAATAAGCCCATTGCTTTACCTTTCATAAAACTAAGATGGTAAATGTATAATGTTCTGTTCTGTATAATGTAACACATTATTGCTATTTCCAGGTCACCATTTTCTTTAAATAAACCAAATTACTTGTGTGAAATAATATAATGATAAACACATTATGAAATAATAAGGTTTAATTTGAATTTTAAAATAGGTATTTACTTCAAATTTATTTGTTATTATCAGTGTAAATAATAATTGCTATAGCTTGATTTAATAAATCAAATTTTTGCAAATATCCTCAGAATTTTTTGAAAATGCAGATAATAAGACAACGGCAAAGCCATTTCTCAATCTTAATAAAATTATTTAAAAACATCATCATCAGCTTGATGATGTCCCCACTACTATTTGAAGCTAATAGAGAATAATATGTTTTTATAATTTAGAGCAAGATCTTACCAATTAAAACAATATTTGGAAATATATTTATGACTTAAGAAATAAGTTGTTGTAGGATAAAGATTAATACACTACATGTGCTAAATCTGTGATATCGCACTAATATTACAACAGTGTTGTAACTCAAAATTGATTGTTTTTCAGAATCAAGGAAAAACTGATTATTCACTTTTTATTATAGATTATAAAAAAAATCATTCTTTATGTGTTTTATTTCTGTAAATTTAAAGAAATTATATATATACCAATAATTTAAAAAATTACGGGGACTAAAGTTATTCAAATTTTTTGAGTTGATACGATATAATATCGAACAAACTGTTCAAAATGAAATATTATTTTTAGTTGTGTAGTTATTTTAGAAATATTTTGGGTTACTATTATTTGAATATAGCTTTTTGGTATAGTTTAAATATACATTTTAGAGTTACAACAATTCTAATAATTGTTTTTGGTATTATATTTACGTATACCTTGAACATTTTCTCCGAGTTAGGGTATTAGTAAATAAAAACAAATTAAGTTTTATAAGAAACAATTATAATTTCGCAATAAACTGAATTAGAACAAAACATACAATGTTTGAAATAATACAAAATAGTGAAATATTTTGTATAAGTGACTACAAAATAAAGTTTCTTAAACAAAACAGTATAAAAATAAATATCTATTTATTTTTAAACTTAGTAAGTCCTTACGAAACATAAAAAAACAGTCTTTTCCGACACATAATGATTATCACTAATTATTCTTATAAAGTAGTTGAAGCATTAAATGTAAACTTAATCAAATAATCAACAGAATAAAAATCCCAAAACAAAACTAAACAAAAATAAAACAGTTATTAGTTATTGACAACAATGAAGGTAATAAATTTGAGGGATGTGCACATTCTTCAACAGGTTCGTCATTTTCTTTTTCCTGGTTTTCGCCGCTCGTTTTTATTGCCATACCAACAAGTAATCGCCCACGATGCATAGAGATTCTGCAAATTAATCAAGTTCTTGTTAGCAAAATACATACAAAGCACACGTGTCACATAGAGTGTAGTAACTTTAAATTAACGAGATAAAATATTTAGTAAACATTTTCCTAATTTAACAATAACATATTCCAATGCACCGTGATAAATACTATGATAAACAATTGGGCTTTTCTTTAAATACTAACAAATTAAACAATAAAAGGTGTTCAATCGTCATGCATCAACAATACTGTATCATGTCTAAAATGAATAACTAAACCAATAATAATGTCGTAAATAAAAATATTATTTGAAATATCGCTTGTATTAATCAGTAAGAGTGTATTAACTCTAAAAACACCCATTCCATATTAAAGTTTAAATCAGCAAAAACGTAATAATTCAAAATAATACTTTAAATTTTCCATACCTGAATCAGCAATACTGCTACAACTCGAAATATTGCGCAAAGCGGCACGTCCTTCCTCGGTCACTGTTGGTCGCAACTAAAGAAGAAGCAATATTAAGCGGGAGGGTATGACAGTTGGTCAGTCATCTATACTGACTTATAACGCCATCTTTTATTTGTTTTTTGCATTATTTCAACGACGGTTTTATTGCCTTGTGCGGAATCGCATCCAGCGTTTGAATATGGTGTTATCTCAAATTCGACATTTTTTGAGTTACGACACTGTTGTAATATTAGTGCGATATATTTTACGTAGTATTTATTACTAGATGCACAAGGCATTTAGATAATTTAGAGCTATTACTTGCATATGAAATATAGTATTAAAATGCAGATTACATGGTTACTATTCGTATTACACATACAATTACTGTGAATTTTATATAAAACAATTGTTTATGATTCAATATTCATCTAAATATAGCTGCTCTCTCAATTTTAAAAGGTAGTAGATTTTAGATTTCGGTTTTAGAGAGTTTGATTGCAATGATGAATATTTTTTCCAAAGATTAATATTACTTAAGTAATTATACTTAATATCG